TGCAGGACTCCGGCAAGCCTATGAAATGGTGACTGGTTTTTCCTATTATGTAACAATACATGATGGCTGTGGGGCTAGATGCTGATGTGTAATTTTCTCCAGGGTTTGGTCAGTTCAGCTCAAATGGTAAAATACCTAGCAATCAATGCCAGGCCAACTACTTCTAGGTTTATTTCTCGATCGCTTCCTCAAGGATTGTCTAGAGCATATATTGGCAGGTAAGTGTATGAAAGATTTCCTACATAGAATTGACTAGTCAATTTGTGGCATTGTTCTGAGTTTCATTCGATGGTATGTTTTGGCCAGTTAAAAAATAGAAACGTTTCGAAAATATTACAAAAAACGATACAGAAGCATTGCATGTTTGTAGAAATCAATGGAAACACTTGAAGATGTTACAAAATTGTTGTTCCTGGCTAATAATTGTATCCTCTATGACAAAAATATTAAGTATATATATTTGGGACCTTATATACCCTTTTTCTGAAGTACTAAAGAGCAATTTAGAAAAATTACACTTCAAGCAAGAAAAATATATGATATGGCAAGTTTTATGAAAAACCGGAAATTTGACATAAGTAGTGAAAATTAAGTTGAGAGTTTTGGGAAATAAATGTATGTTCATAATAATAATAATATTAATGTTTATTTAGGTAGTAATAATAAAACTCCAAATATTTGCCCAACAAAATAATAAACTCCAATAAATGTAGAATGAGGTGAGATGGATTTGAATAAAAGCCCATTTGGTGATTTGAATTATTAGTGTTGCCTACAACTGCAAGTTTAATAAATACTCCTAAGAAGTAATAAGTGTAATTTATGTTGACTCAGTTTTTGTGTTAGTTGACTCAGATTTCAAGAACTTTCTATCGAAACAATTGCAATTTTGACATTTCCACATTAATATAGGAATGTTTCACGTTTCTCACGTATGACTTTATCTTCGAAAGTACACTTGCCTTTCATTCTACAAAAAATGAAACCTTACACTATTTTTGATCGAAACGAAACGAATTTTTATTCCATGATCCGAGGATCAAAATTTTGTTTTGAAACAGTCGAAACGGCCGACATTTCCATTTCCATTTCCATGGACGAATGAATCAGTGATTGAATTGAAATTTTACCACTTTGCGATGTTTTGAGATATGTCGGAATATTTTGAGGTTTTACGAAAGGTTTCAGCATGTTTTCACCAATGTTTAAAATGTTTTGAGTTGTTTTAAGGTGTTTTGGTATATTTTGACCAATATTTCAGAATATTTTTTAAATATGTTCTTAAATTTTTTATTCATTTTCATTTTTTTTCGAAATATTTCGAAACGTTTCTATTTCCGAGGCAATCAACACAATGCACTGAAACAAAATTTTAATCTTTGGGGTTCAGTCATTTTTTCATAGTCCATAATCTATCCCAATCTAACACCCCTCCCTAAGCTGTTAACCTTTATGCTGTACATTATATAATCTTCAACATCTTTCTGAATTTTCTGTTTCAACTTATCGTTCTTTAACCAACATACTAAATCGTAGGATAAACGTTTTTGTATTTTAGTTTTTTCCTAGACCCTGGCCCCAAAATTGAGTCTTAAGCAAATTTGAGGATTGGAAATCGGTGAAATATAAAGATGTCAGACAAATTAGTGAACGCTATCTTGCAAAATATAATACAGAATGTAACTTTGGACAGTGGAAGAAAAGGCATGTAAAGGGCTGTATATTGCTTGTTTTGTAGCCAGAGGATGGTGAGAGTTTGGGGCTTTAAGAATTTGTTATAACCAATAGGTAAAGGTTAGTGGGTTAAATTATGGTCTAAAAAGAGAAGTACTGTAAGCAGTAATAATAGCTTGGTGTTTTCTCAAGTCTTTGAGGTGTAGTGGTGGGACAGTTTTTATGTTGCAAAAAGGATTGGGCATTACTGCAGGATATTAGTGGTTGTAAAAGGTGATGAAATCATATCTAGTTGCTTCTTAATATAAGTACTAGTGAGGTGCCCGTGTGCAAGGCACGCTAATTAAAACTTATTTTTCTTAAGATAGCAAAATTTAGATAAAATTTTGTAGATATTAGAATACACTAAGTTATATAATATGATAAACACGACCCTTTAGTGTATTGTGATTTTTCTTAATGAGGACAATACCAAAGTATTGAGATTAACGTGTGTGTAAGTGTAGATAAAACACTTTAAATGTGGATGTAAATTAATTGTGTATGCACCAAACAAGAAAAAAAATGACATTATGGTAAATTTAAGTTAAACCGAATCTATTACATTAACTCCGTTAATTTTCTTTCCTAGATGAGATTAAATATGGTTAATTTCATTAATTAAATTAACTTTATCATAAAACTAAATTAAAATCCAATATGGGCCACAATTCTCCTTTGGTCCATTTCTATAAAAAGATAACATATGCAAAGAATCATTTACAATGGTCCAAACACAATATCTCCGTCTCCCCAACCACCCCACATACTCCGTCACCTACCACTCTTCATCCTTACCCCCACCTCTGTATGCTTCTAGTAAATTCCACATGTGACTTGAAATTTAATGTGGATTTAAATCAAACAATAAATTAAAACTAAATGTGATCAATTCTATTAAGCTAGTCAATTTTATGTCAAAATTAATTCAAATCTTACCAATTTCAATAAATAAAGATTTTAAAAAATTAAATCTAATCATTTCTATTAAGTTATGCTTATTTCTATAATAATTTTGTTTCCAATAGAGCACGCACCACCATACCACCATAACCTATGATTGACAAATTGATAAAAATTAAATGGATATGTTATGACTCGTTTGGTAATGTTTACGGTTTTTGATTTTCTAAAAAACGAAAAACAGAATCAAAAAACGAAAAACATCTTTTTCTCGTTTTTGAAAATCGCCCCTCGTTTATAAAACGATAACAGAAAAAAAAATAAAAACGGTTATTAAACGAGTTTTTTTTTCTTATTTTTTCTAAATATTAAAATAAAAACGAAAAACGAAAAACATAAACGTTACCAAACGGGACCTTAGTCTGTTAATCTACATGGTTGTTTGACACAATTTGGCGAACTAATCTTATCCAAATCTGTTTAAGCCATCATAATTAAATGTTTCCCAACACTACCGTCTTACATTTCCACCTTTTTACTTTCTTTTTTTTTTTTGTTTTTTTCCCTTCTCACTCGGTCCCTTCGCACCTCCAGACTCTTCTTTATCTCTCTCTCTTCACACACTCACAGGCTACACAACACCACCATTTCTCTCTTTCCTTCTCTCCCTCTTCACACACACACACAATTCAACACAACAACACTCCCCGCCCAACAAACCTCCACCCAACATCCCCACTCTTTCTCTTTCGACAGAAAAACAACACCACGGCCTCTCTCTCTATCTCTCTTCATACACGCACAAATGACATGTGAACCACAGTCCACCACACCGCACATACCCAGCTCTGCTCCCTCAATCATTCGTTGTTGACCACCGATGCCCATCGCTTGTCCTTCCTTTGATTTTGCAATATGAAACCCTTCACATCCACGGTATAGATTCTGGTCAAATTTCGTTTGCGACATAGTGATTGATTTATTTGGCTTTCCTTTCTAATGTGCTATTCAAAACAACACTAAAAATCAAAACCCAAACAATTTCGTGTATGTGCATGTTGCATGTGGGTGTCGATGTCTGTGTGCTGAATATGTTGTGTGAATGGATCTATGGGTTCGTGTCTGTGTTGTGTGTCTTGTGCGTGTGGGTGTGTGTGTGTATCTGTGTTGTGTGCAGGAGCGGAGCCAAGAATTTTATTCGGGGTGGGCACTTTAATTACAGACTCTAATTTTTTTCCTCTTAACCAATTACATTATATAATATATTTATATTTATTATATCATATTTGATACATGAAATCCATTTAACATAAAAATTGCCAAAAAATAATGTATATTGTTAGGGGCGGAGCTAGAAATATCTATGAGGGGAGCAAAGTATAACTGATACAAAAAAAATATTTAGTTGAAATTGATACAAAAAAATTCAATTCAAAAATGACAAAAAAGTAATGAAGACAAAATTATTGTAAAATAGTAAATTCAATTTTTATTTAACCGAAACAAAATTCTAACAAAATGGCACAAAATAATTTTTTTAATACATTTTAATCTAATTATATATTTCAATAAAATATAAAAAATTTTAAATTCTCTAAAATTTTGTATATGAATTAAATGTAAATTAATTTTTCACTAATTTTTTATCAATGCGCACAATCACAAGTCCATAGTAAAATTATTCTTTATTTAATTGCAAAATTTAGTTGAAATCATTATCAATCTTATAGAGAAATTTCCTATTCGAAATAATTTGAAATATTGTTGGGTTACAACTTTTTGTCTTTTATATATATAATCGTATTTTATTAGATTATGGACTACTATTACTAAAAAATTGATAAATGAAAATTAAAAATTGTTCTTAAAAAGTAACGAATATTGTGTTAGATAAAGAGAAATATTGTATTTTCGTCAATATACAAATAGATCATTGACTCAATCCAAAATTAACATATTTATTTTAGAGAGTTAGTAGTCCACTAATTTATTGAAAAAAGAAAAGAGTAGAACAATTATTGAAATTTTAAAAAATTTAGAGGGCAAATATAATATATAAAATAATTTTATGGGTCCTCATCTAAGGTAGTCCAAAAGCGCCCAAGAGGGGGGGGGGACCGTGGTCCCCATGTGGCTTCGCCCATGGTTGTGTGTTTACACATGTATGTGCTGCGTATTGTGCGTGAGTGTGTGTGTTGTGCTGTGTGTACGTGCGTTGGGTTGAGAGAGGGAAAGATAGAGATAAAGAGAGAGGGAGGGATACTTGACCGAGAGCTTCGTCTTGGTTGCTGGGAGGATCGTCGGTGGTGGGTCGCCGATAATGGCTTCATGGCGTTGCTAGGTACTTGATGGGTCTTCTCAAAGAGAAAAGATGGAGGAGAGAGATGGAATCTAGAGAGAAGAGACTGAGAGTGAAGAAGCTAGATATAAGAGAATGCGAGTATGAAGAGATAACAAAGGGATAAAAGTGAGGATCTGACAAGGTGGTATGGGGCTGAGAAGGGGGTTTTGCGCGTCTCCGGTGGAGTGTTCTTGTAAGAACTCCATGCCCTCTCCACATTGTTTTGTCTATTCAATGTTTTTTTGAAAAAGTACGTCTTATCAATGAATAGATGTGGGATTTGTGATTAAAGCAGTTAGAGGTTTTTTGGAGAGAGAAGACAACTGTGATTTGATAGCACCATATTTCTTTGTCAGTTGAGTGTTGGAGGAGAGAGAGAAACAGATTGTGTGGCCACATGAGCTTATAATTACATCTCAAGTGTAACTTTTTTGACTTAGTTTGTGTTCATAAAAGAGAATAAAGATAGTCCATATCCAAAGCTTAGTTTGGACGGTAGAGATGAGGAAAAGTTGGATTCACTCTTTTATAGTATAGGATAAAGAGTGCCAGAAATAGAGGAAGAAGAGGAGGAGGAGGAAGAAGAGGAAGAAAAAGATGGCTTCACCTAGAACTCCAAACAACACAACATAAATTACCCTTGATGCCTAGAAGCCGATCAACATTAATCAAATTATACCAGCCATATTATATTCATAAAACTAACACAAAACTAGACACAGTTTAGCCCAAGAATTTTGTAGGACAAAGTCCTACGATTGGGCGAGGGTGAAATGGTTGTATGAAGGCTTAAGGTGTTGTGGTCACTAGGTTGAGTTTTCATGCAAGGATTGGGCTTTGTGTAGGAATAATGTTGGTAAAAATGATGAACTACGGAGGAAGAAGAGACATTTATGCTAGCTGAAGATTTGTTTTCTTCGTTTCTTCCTTACGCATTCAATAGATTATCGACATCCAAAAGGGAAAACAACCCAGAAGTAACAACATTAACTTCAGAACCTCCAATATTTTATTCATTTGATTGTGGCTCGGTCTTCTATCGTGGGATGGCTGGGAAAAAAAATTGGTGAAATTTCAGAATCTAGGCATTGTCATTCATTCAAGTGGAGTTAAATACCAAGAAATTTCTGTTATGTGTCATTGGTTCATTTTCCTCAGAATCCGTAGGTATCTATTGCCAAATTTTTTAGTGTGTCATTCCTTTTGTAACCACCTTTGTTTCCCCAGGATGATTGCAGATCCTGCATTTTTATATAAGCTTCTTCTGGAGCAGGCAGCTACAGTTGGTTGCTCTGTTTGGTGGGAGTTGAAAAATCGCAAAGAGAGGTATTCTTTTGCTTTAGTTATCACAAAAATAGACACTTTATGACTTGCTCATATAATATATTGACTTGATCAAATTTTGCTTTATTGTAATAATGACAGGATAAAGCAGGAATGGGATCTTGCACTTATCAATGTGCTCACTGTCATGGCATGCAATGCTATTGTTGTTTGGTCATTTGCTCCTTGTCGTTCATATGGGAACACCTTCCGCTATGATTTGCAAAATACATTGCAGAAGCTCCCGAACAATATCTTTGAAAAGAGCTATCCACTTAGAGAATTTGACTTGCAAAAGAGAATCCACTCTTTCTTTTACAAGGCTGCCGAGTTGTGTATGGTCGGATTAACTGCAGGAGCAGCACAAGGTGCTTTGTTAAATCTCGCTGCTAAGAAAAAGGAGGGAAGGTATTGTTTGAGATGTCTCTCCTTTGTTTGTTCCATGCTCTATTTGTTTGTTTTGTTTTGGGTGGTTTTCCACAATTTGAATCTGTGACTTGCCTTACATTGCTGAATTCTTCCATCGAACATTGGTGGAATCATTGTTCTGGCAGGTTATCCGTCACAATTCCCACCGTGAGCGCTAACGCACTTGGTTATGGAGCTTTCCTTGGTATATATGCAAACTTGCGGTATCAGCTGTTATGTGGATTTGATAGAGCAATGGTTAACCATTTTGACGTTATTGGGGTGGCTCTGTTTTTCAGCACAGCTTTGAGGTCTGAATTTCTCTCTCTATTTGTATGATCATCCATTCAAACTTATGGTGTCAGCATTTGTAACTTTCTTTGTCTTTCCACTTATTTTCAATTTTGTTTTTCCAATGCTGCTTGATTCAGTTAAAAAAAATGCTGCTTGATTGTGCTTATTATATAGAGAAATTTGTTTATTGAATTAAGTACAACATTGATTCCTTAAGTATGCATCAATTGTCAGTTTAGTTCCTCAAGTACCAGTTTTGTCAGTTTGGTCCATAATGTTTAATTAATTGGCAACCGAATTACCCATGTGCTGCTCATGTGAGTTTTATATGAGGGGGAGTGTAAAAAAAATAGCCCAAATATAAGTTGGGTAAATATCAAATCAGGAATTGGACTGGTCAACCCCGACTCTCCTTCACCCCTGCTACCCCCTCAGCAGCCGCAGTCCACTTCCCCCTCTCCTATCCTCCTGGCATCCCTCTCTCCTGCTACACCCAACACAATGATTCGAGGGTGTCATTTTCATCAGAGCATTTTGCAGCCGTATTTTATTGTCAGATGAAACATGAAAAGGGTCTCGCTGCTGCCACTACAATTTTCTTGCCTTAAAAGAAGTTGAGGACAGGAGCTCAGATCTTTTTTCCCCCTTCTGATTGAGCACAAGAGTTTAATGCAAAAGGGTAGAAGATTCCATTTCTCCTAGCTCTTTTCTCCAGTTTTGGTGGATTGAAAAACATTCGTCCCATTCCTCTTTTCCTTTTTCCTTGCCACAGTTCCCACTGTCAGGAAGCCCCACGAGTTGCCCACCAAGTATCAACACTATTATTTGATTGGTTTAGGGCTTTGATTTGTCCAAGATCTGAATCTTTTTTCCCCAAATTGCCCCTGATAATGTCTCATGTGAACAGCACATGGGTATTTAGTTATAACTCCAAACAGAGGTTAAAAATTGGATCATTTTAAGATGTACTTTAAACATTAGGGACCAAATTGACAAAATTGATAATTTAATCCTCGTTTACTTATCTAACTGGTTACATGTGCTTGAAAAAGATTTTATCCATGTAGTTCTTGGGTCAAATTGTATTTAGCTTGCTTCTTATGTAAGGGCCCATGGGTTTCCTTCTGTTTTTCGAACTATTCTTCATCATACATAGGATTTGCATGGCTTTATGATCTCTATTTCTTGGGATTACGATGGTGTTATTTCAAAATGTTCTTGGCAATTGTAGTTTTTGAGTGTAGGAGTCAGAATACACTTGTTTTAGATGTTGGGGGACAAAAATTTTGGCAATGTTGTAAAAATAACTGGTAATCTCTCCACAGTTACAGCAGTGGGGGACGAAATTTTTGGCAATGTTATAAAAAGAACTGGTAATCTCCCCACAGTAACAGCAAGAACACTGCTGTTAGCTTAGTTGTAAAAAATTCCAGGAACCCTTACTTAGGTATAAATACTGTGCATTGCAGGATTCTGAATGTTCAATTAGGAGAGACATCAAGGCTGGCTTGGCTTGGCGTGGAAGTGGATCCGTTAGCTCAGTCAGATGACCTCTTCAAGGTTTACAATCGGCCATCTGAAGCTGTTGATCAACCTTCTTCAAAGTGGTTCATATCAAAGAATACCATTGTTTCTGGTCTTGGGCTACTAGGCATCAAACAGGGGCAGAATGATTCAGTGGCCGAGGGTGAATCACAACCTCCCAAGGCTCGGAGAAAAAGAATTGTCAGGAAAAAAACAAGTCGAGTATAGCTAGTTATATAATTTCGTTGAAGCGTTTCAATTTTGCAGCCTGATGATTTGATGCGGATTTTCTTGATAAGACCCGAGTTGTAAGCAACCTGAGATATGGCGTTCAATTGCCAAAGTTTATCACTGGGCACAGGTTGGCTGATAACTGTAGTGATGCACTGGTGAAGTTTCTTCTCTATAATGTTTTGCTCGTCTTTCTGATTTTGGTCTGCTGCGATTTTGATGTAGTAGTAAACGTCTGGATTCCAAATTGACCACTGAATTCTTTTTATTACTGGAAAATAGAAAGTTAATTGTTGTTGGTTCATCAACCTATATGCACCTTTGTGTGCGTGTATCTGGGACTCCGAAAAACAAAATTTCGGTATCATATTGAAATTTATTATATTTGTGAATATTTTTATTACTGTAGTGGGCATTTTTATCATTATTATAGTATTAAAAATGATAAAAAATAGTTATTATAACAGCGATAACATAACGGTGGTAAAAATGCTCACAGAAGTTATAAATTATACATAAAAAATGATAATTTTTTCAAAAAAAGTGATAAAAGTAGTTATTATAACAGTGGTAAAAATATTTAAAAAAGTGATAAATGACTCACAAAAGTGATAACCTTTTGAAGTAGTAAATTTTAGAGGGATGATATTGAATTTTTTTTTTGACTAGATTGTAGTATATCTGTGTATTAGGGGTAATTCGTGCTTTAAGACACGATATAATGTGAATGGTTTTAAAATGAATGTTAGTGATTGTTGAAAGAGTTTATTTGAGACTGTCGAATGTGTTTATTAAAATTTATCATGTTTTATATTATAAATTATTATATACGTTATTGAACTTGGGAAAAATAAATAGATTCGGACAAAAATAACAAAAAAAGAATTTTAAATAAAAATTAATTAAAAAATTCTTTAAAATTTCAAATATAATATTTAAAATAATGTCTCAGCCAAAGAATTAGCACCAATAGAAAAAAAATTAAAAGATAATTGACTTGAATAATTTAAATACGTTTATAAAAAAATTAGTTGTATAGAGAATCGATTTAAGTGACTAAAATATATTTATGTTAGACTCGAAATAATCGATGTCAAATAATTGAGAGTTGGGCTTTATTTTTAGGCCGAATATTATTATAGGAGGAGGGAACGACAAAGTCTGAACTTACGATTTTAAGATTTAACAATAAAGACGATAGTCATTAAATCAATCGCTAATCTTGAACAATTGGACATTTTTTTTCGGCTGAATATTTTAAATCAATCGCTAATCTTGAACAATTGGACATTTTTTTTTGGCTGAATATTTTTATAGAAAAAGGGAACGACAAAATCTGAATCAATGACTTTAAGATTTAATAACAGAGACGATAGTCTTTAACTCAATCGCTAATATTGAACAATTGGTTTAGTTGAAAATAAATCCAGGACAAAAAAAACAAATTCACCAATAATTCTGATTTCCAATCCAATCCAACCTTGGAAGGAAGATAAACAGACACGAGGATTGTGACCATCTATCTGCTTGGGAAGAAACCACGTCAGCAAGACATATAGTCCAGCCCTTATCTTTAAAACCCATTTCTTCATCTGTCCACAACTCCACTCCTCTCTCTCTCTTTCCCTCTACGGCGGCCGGCAGCCGGCGGCTGCGAGGCACACAATGGACCACCTCTACCCCGACGTCAACTACTGGCTTGTCGACCACCCCACAATAAGCCAGTTCGAGTGGAAACAAGGCTCCACTGTAGGCGCTTCCCCACTCTTCCTCACTCTCACAGTCCTCACCTATCTCTGTCTCACTGTCCTCCTCCACATCTCCCCAATCCCCACCCTCCACGCCACCACTCTCCGCCTCGTCTCCGTCGTCCACAACCTCATCCTCCTCCTCCTCTCCCTCATCATGGCCGTCGGTTGTTCCCTCTCCACGCTCCACCAAATGCCCCACTACCGTTGGATCTTCTGCTTTCCCTCCAATCACACCCCTCCACGTGGGCCGACATTCTTCTGGGCCCAAATATTCTACTTCTCGAAGATTCTCGAATTCGTAGACACGCTTTTGATCATCTTGAGCGGTAGCAATCGACGGCTCTCATTTCTCCACGTGTACCATCACGTGGTGGTGGTCGTGATGTGTTATGTTTGGCTCTACACCTCCCAGTCACTGTTCCCCGTGGCGCTCGTTACCAACGCTTCGGTTCACGTGCTAATGTACGCCTACTACTTATTGTGCGCACTGGGGAAGCGTCCGTGGTGGAAGAGGTTGGTGACGGACTGTCAGATTATCCAGTTCGTGTTTAGCTTTGCTGTCTCGGGTTTGATGCTGTACTACCATTTCACCGGATTAGGGTGCTCCGGGCTATGGGGTTGGTGTTTCAATGCGATTTTCAACGGTTCGCTTTTGGCGCTTTTCGTTGACTTTCATTTTAAGAACTATGCCAAGAGGAGAAAGGGTGATGATCAAAAGGCTAAGCGGTCATGATTAGATGGTTCATGATTTTTCTATTGTGAGACACTCTTCCAAGTGTGATACACTATTACAAGAGACGAGGAGGTTCAAATTGGCAGGTTCGGGTCTATAATTGCTATTGCTTGCAATTTTCAAATGTACGGTTGTGATCGGATTACACTGCCATCAATTTGATATGCAGTTACCCTGGTTTTCAATTTTTTTTGTTCTCTAAATGTCTAGATGCAAATATATTTATAAATTAGTTATAACTCGGAATTACGGTAAAACATAAAATTTGAATATTTAAACAATTGATCTCATTATAACTAAGAGTAATTTTTTATTTCTTTATATCTTTAATTACATTATTTAAAATTAATTTTTACATATTATTTTGTTTAAAATAACGTTAAAATTTTTTCAAACTAGTGACAAATTTTTTTCAATATGTATACACTATCGGATATGAATAATGTATAAAATAAAAGTTGTGTTAAATTATAAATTAATCAAATATTAAATGATTGAATATGTAATAAAATTGGGAATGTGATGTTTTTCGGGAGAAAAAATATACATACAATAAAGATTCAAGTTGTTAGTTAAATTATTATATAGATTACTGTAATTCTTATAAACTCGTGTTTCTGAAACACAACTTTATAGTGAAATTGCTTTTAATGCAAAAAAAATATGTTGAAAGTGCATTGTTGAAATAAGCATTCATTGTAAAAAAAAAAAAACACGACTTCATTAAAAAAATGATAATTTAATAAATAATTTTAGAATTACAGTATTTTTGATAAAAAAAGTTTTAAAACTATATCTTAAATGGGAAAAAAATTCTTGTATTATCGTTCAAATCTAGTGAAGGGTTTCTAACGAACAAATATTCTCTAATAAAGAGAATAGTTGTATACATTTCATTTCAAGGATCGTGAGTACAGAATGCGTCAGGCTGGCAAACTCCACTACATGACAAATGAGGAGGAACCACAAAATCAACTAGAAAAGGGAGAATTGTAAAAATCATAAGTAGCGAAGTGCATAAATAGAAGACGAAGTCACCGAAAAGAGAGAGTTCTAGAGTTTACTTAGGAAATACTTTGTAAAAAGGCTTTCAGTCAAAAAATTCACTATAACTGCTATCTTATTTTTCAAGTAATACAATTCCTATGGAGCAAAAGTCTCCTTTACAGTGGATATAACCCTAGTCTTTCAGTTGGGATGAACTACTTATATTTTGTTCTTTGATTTAACATCAATCTTTGCTTCCCTTCTATTTTTAGCATTCATGAAGTCCTCATTGGGCTTCACCTCATAGTTGTTCTGTAATAGGGTAGAGAGATTCGAGCACCATCAAGAGTGATAAAGATACGTGCACGATTTTGAAAGTTTGCAAAATAAAAAGGAAAATAGAATCAACAAAAAAAAACTCATTTCGAAGGGTAGAAACCTTCATTGATTCACTTTGAGGGACCCAACCTCAAAACCTTCAACAAGAAAATTTAATAAAAGTCCTAACATTCTATTTTATTGATAAAAGAGTATTTAAATTCAAGATGATAAAAAAATTGGATAAAATTGTGCTACATAAATTTTTTACCAAATCTTGTATTTCAAGTGATGTGCCAAAATTTTATGTATTGAATATTTGGTGGAGTTAGTAGACTCCACTAATCCAATCACCTGTATTGATTTGAGATACAAAATTTGGTCAGTATACATTGCTCTGTAAACCACAATAACTAACCTAACCCAATGAGTACTATTTAGTTAACCACTTAAGAAAATCAACAAATACCAAATCACTAATCAGGATTGGTAATCAAACTGAGTTATTCGGGTTCAACTCAAATTCAGATTGTTTTGGACTTGGTTCAGTCTTGTTTAGAAAAATGAATTTGACAAGCTCAACTTGTTTATATATAAATACTTGAGCTCGATTCAAGTTTGGCTAATTTTGATCTCAATTCAAATTTGACTTATTTATTAAATGAGTCAAACTTGAATAATTTAAACTTGTCTATAAAAAATGAGCTCGAGAGTCTCGATTCGATTATTTGTCCTACCACTAACTCACTAATGCATATTCTCCTATTAACTAACCCTTATAGTTCATAAAACACATATAAAACCATAACATGACAGACAAATTCTTGCTAGTTATAAGGCAGGAAAAAGATTTTTGCTATGAAGTTTTCAAGAATCTATATTGATGTGGACGATACTCAAGGCCAAGGCTTTGCTAGCCCAGAGGCTTGACCAGCCCAAGAGACCCAGAACATAAAAGGAGGACCTAGCATCAGTAAAAAGCCTATAATTCAGCTGTCCGGGCCCAATCCAAACCATAGAGTGGTTTGGAGAAGGAAAGCCCAGTCCAAGCAATTTTTGGATCGACAGACGGGACCACAAATCCTGGGGATCCAAGGGGACCACTCCTGACACCTACGACAATCTCAAAGAAGGTGGAGCACCAGACCGCCAGAGATCATGGCAACGGTAGCGCCGAATGAACAGGTACGTCGAATGAACATCGATAGTGGTGGCAGGAGAAGCAGAAAGGGAGGATAGAAGAAAGGACAGCTGGAGGCCCTAGGAGAAGCTGGTATAAATGGATAACGATAACCCAGGCAAGAGAAGAACTCCATCTCCCCTGAAAAAAGATCAGTGAGCACTAAAAAGCCAAAGAACGCAAAAAACTAAGAGAATATCTAGCCCCTTATCCTCCTTTGTAAGTGGACTGCGAGTCCCCAAATTACAAGAGGCATTTCGTCAACCGATGAATATATAAATCCAGCGAGCAAGAAGCTCTGTTGATAGTGGACGTAGCCTTAGTCTTTCGGCTAAGGTGAACCACATATATTCCTATTCTAACTAATCACAAATCCATGATCTGCAGAGCCATTTCGTAACGCCATCCCATCATAATTGGGCTTGGGCCTTAAAATTCGAGCAACATCAGTTGGCACCGTCTGTGGGAAACGATTTTCATCGTTTCCTTGTCTGATTTCTATTTTGATGGTTTCAACTCGGAATATGAGTAAAGCTCCTGCCAACCCTCAAGCCCACCAAAACCTGCCAAATAATCCCCTAATTCTAGAAGTGGACACTGCAAACCACTTCACAGCAACAAACCTTCCCCCTCTCGAAGGGATGGATACTTTTCACCGAACCACGATGCAATTTATGAAACAGAACCAAGAGCTGTTGAAATGGATACGGACTCACCAGCTCCCTCCATTCCCACTACCTCAACAAGAGCCCTCTCCATCGCCAGTAGGTCACGACGTTCCCCTTCGAGGACACCAGGCTCCACCAAATGGGGTCACAGAGCTCCACGAGCACAGCCACTCCGGAGAAAACCATCGAAGGAGACATCCCGAAGGACAAAATGAGGACGAGGCCCATAGCTGGGCTACAACTGCCTTCCAACAGGACATACCTCATCCCTCGTTCGAAACCGATGATCGCATATGGGAGTAGAGAATCCGTGAACTCTAGCGAGAGTTGGACAACGTGAAATAAGTGGTTAGAGGAAAGGCCCCCAACACCATGGATACCCTAGTCTAGCAAACCGAGTCGCCATTTACGCCCGAGGTCCTCCATTTCCCTCTCCCTCAGAAATTTCGGATGTTGTCGATAGATGCATTCGATAGGACCAAAGACCCAGTCGACCACTTAAACTCCTACAAGAATCAGATGGAACTCCAGGGGTATCCCAACCCGATTCGTTGCCGAACTTTTGCCATCACCCTGAAGGGATCGGTAACAGCTTGGTTCAATAGGTTACAACTGGCGTCAATCCCCTCCTTCAGGGAACTGTCAATACAGTTCATCTCACACTTCATCAGAGCAAGGACGTACAGAAAGCTGTCCTTCCACCTGCTAAGCGTCAAACAGGGACCAAATGAGTCCCTCAGAAGTTACGTGCAACGCTTCAACCAGGAATGCCTGAAGGTGGAAAGCGTGGACGATAAATTCGCATTAACCACCTTCATGTCGGGACTCAAAGTGCAATCCAAGGACCTTCTCTTCTCGATTGCTAAGAACCCTCAGGCTACTATGGCCAAGGTATTAGCAAAGCTGAAAAGTACATCAACGGCGAAGAAGCTCTTCGCCTGAAAGGAAGTTCGGCAACGCTGGAAGGGGACAAGAAGAATTGAGACCATAGCCCCAAAAGAGAGAAGAGGTGCGATCGGTCCCCGAGAAGAGACCGCTATCCGAGAAGAGGAAGAGAGCCTTTCCCTAAAAGAAGAGGAAATGTCCGAGATTGACTAGGACCTCCTCCGTAGGAGCTATAGTCATGGTATGCTCAAGCTCGACTCTCACCCCTTGTCACCTCGATCGCTCAGGTCCTCCATGAGGTCCAAAACGAGAGATTCATCTGGTGGCCACCGCGAATGAAATCTGACCCCAGCAGGCGGGACACCACTAAGTACTGTGAGTTCCACAAAGACACCAACCACGAGACAAACGACTGCATACAACTCAAGAAATAGATAGAATATATGATCCAGATAGGACACTTGCGCCACCACTTGGCGACAGCTCGGAATAATCAAGGCCGAGAAGATCGAGCTGCCCCAGAACCCCCTTAGCAACACCAACAAGCCCTTGGCGAAATCCGCGTAATCTCTGGCGGGTTTGCCAGAGAAGAAGAATCCATCTCAGCACGTAGAGCACATGCTCGGAAGATCACCTTGAAACCCATACCGTACGAAAGGTGCCTCGCCGAGAAATGGAGATCACCTTCTCGGATGCGGACCTCAGAGAATGCCAGTAGTCACATGACGACCCCCTGGTCATAAAGGCGATCGTCGCCAACAAAACGGTGCATCGAGTACTCATCGACAACGGAAGCTTCACTGATATCATTTTCTTGTCAACTTTCGACCAACTAGGCATAGAAAGATCAAACCTCGAACCCGTGAAATCCCACCTATTAGGGTCTCGGGCGAAAAGGTCCTGCTAGTTGGATCCATCCAACTCATCCTCACCGTCGGGGAACAGCCCTGCCAGGCTACGACCACCACTCGGTTCCTGGTAGTAGATGTTCCATCCGCCTACAACATCCTGTTAGGTAGGTCATCTCTCAACTCCATTAAAGCGATACCTTCGACATATCATTTGGTGATGAAATTCTCCACGGAGAATGGGGTCGACATGGTCAGGGGGAACCAACGCTTGGCCAGAGAATGCTACGTTGCGTTGATGAAACAAAGGGAGGTGGAATCGGTCCAACTCGAGGACTTGGACATGAGAGACGAATTAGATATCAGGCCTACCCCTACAGAGCAGTTGGAGCCCGTACAGTTGGACGAAGACCCGGGGAACGTGGTGTTCATAGGTTCAATGTTGCTCCCGTCCATCAATGAGAAGTTTATCTCGTTCCTAAAGGCAAATGCTGATGCTTTCGCCTGGAAACAAAAGGATGCGGAGGGAATATACCCCGCAGTGATCGTGCATCGTTTGAGTGTTGATCCAAGCTGCAAACCAATCAGACAGAAGAGAAGAAGCTTCGCGCCGGAAAGGCAAAAAGCCATTAATGAGGAGGTGGCTAAGCTGCTGCGGGCCAAGGCCATCAGGGAGGTTGACTACCTGACTTGGATGACCAATGTCATGCTCGTAAGAAAGGTGAATGGCAAATGACGACTCTGTATCAACTTTACCGACCTGAACCGGACATGCCCCAAGGATAGTTTTCCCTTACCTCGAATAGATCTGATCGTCGACGCAACCGCTGGCCACGAGCTCCTCAGCTTCATGGACACATTTTTGGGCTACAATCAAATCAGAATAGATCCCAACGACCAGGAGAAGACATTGTTCATCATAGAACAAGGGGTATATTGCTACCAAGTGATGCCTTTCGGCTTAAAAAACACCGGAGCTACCTATTAGATACTAGTCAACAGAATGTTTTGCGAAAAGCTTGGTCTGACCATGAAAATCTACATAGACGATATGTTGGTAAAATGACTTAAGGTCGAATCCCATATCCACCACCTCAGGGAATCTTTTGAGATTATGCGCTAATACAGAATGAAGTTGAACCCGGCAAAATGCGCCTTTGGGGTATCAGCAGGGAAGATCCTAGGGTTTGTAGTTAACAGAAGGGGCATCGAAGCAAATCCCGAAAAGGTTAAGGCCGTCTTCGAAATGAAACCCTCTACCAACACCAGGGAAACACAGCGCCTTACAAGAAGAATAGCGGTGGTTAACCGCTTCGTCTCGCGATCCAGCGATAAATGCCAACCTTTCTTCAAAGTGTTAAAAACAGCCTTTTGGTGGGACGAGAAATGCGACGAGGCCTTTCAAGCCCTCAAGGCCTACTTGGCCTCTCCACCCGTGCTGGCAAGTCCTAAAGAAGGAGACTGACCCTCTATCTGGCCGTATCAGAATTCTCGGTTAGCACTGCCCTGGTAAAAGACAAAGAAAGAATCCAACAGTCGGTCTACTTCTGTAGCAAGGCCCTCCGAAGAGCCGAAGAGAGGTACCCGAAAATGGAAAAGCTCGTGCTAGCTCTATTGATGGCAGCCCGAAAGACTAAGGCCGTACTTCTAGACGCACACCATCGAGATCCCGACAGACCAATCAATGAGACAGGTCCTGCATAAACCGGAGGCCTCAAAAAGGCTCGTCAAATGGGCAATGGAGCTTAGCAAATTTGACATCAAGTTCAAGCCTAGAATCACAGTCAAAGGGCAAATCCTGGCTGACTTTCTGGCTGAGTTTACTGTACCACCCGAAGAGAGTATTGAAGATTGCGACGACTTACCGACGTGAAAGCTGTATGTTGATGGGGCCTCAAATGCCCAAGGATGCGGAGCAGGCCTCATCCTTACATCCCCAGAAGGTTACGACCAAGAATATGCCCTGAGGTTCAACTTCCAAGCATCCAACAATGAGGCGGAATATGAAGCACTCATAGCCGGCTTAAACCTGGCTCTATCAAAGGAAGCGCAGTAGATCATGATCTATAGTGACTCGCAACTGGTGGTAAGACAAGTCGAGGAAGAGTACGCTGCCAGAGACGAGAAAATGACACTCTACGTGATCGAAGTGCGGAAACTTCTAAGAAAATTTGTATCAGCCAAATTGGTTCAAGTTCCTCGGGAAGATAATTGTCGGGCTAACGCCCTGGCCAAGCTGGCCACCACCAGCGAACATGGCCTCCCTGGGTAGATACCCGTCGAGACGCTGACCCAGCCTAGCGTACGACTCAACGTCGAGCTAAACGGAGAAATTTAGACCCTCCCAGTTGAAGGGGAGACTTCTTGGATAGACCCTATTAGATCATTCCTGCTAGACAGAGTTTTACCCGGAGACCCAAAGGAAACTGCAAAGCTGAGATCCAGGGCGACAAGATTCACGCTGGTCAGAGGTAACTTGTACAAAAGAGGTTTTTCGTTTCCACTAATGAAATGCGTATCTGAGCCTGAAGTAGATTACATCCTGAGAGAAATATACGAAGGGATGTGCGAAAACCACATTGGAACGAGGGCGTTGGCGAATAAGGCGCTACGACAAGGTTACTTTTGGCCAACCATGTCCAAGGATGCCAAGGAGATAGTATAGAAATGTCAAACTTGCCAGATTCACGGCAATTTGCCACATTGTCTGCCATAGCAACTCACCCCCGTGGTTAGCCCCTGGCCCTTTCAATAGTGGGGGTTAGACATCCTGGGCCCCCTGCCAACAGGGGTCGGACAGTGCAAGTTCGTCGTGGTCGCAGTAGATTACTTTACAAAATGGGCCGAAGCAGAGCCTCTGGCCAAGATTACGGTGCAGAAAATCAAAAACTTCGTTTAGAAATCCATCATATGCTGTTTTGGTGTCCCTAGAGTAGTCGTCTCGGACAACGAGAAGCAATTTGATAATCCTACATTCACGGGCTTTTGCGAAGGACTGGGGATCCGAAATTATTTTTCAGTTCCCACGCACCCGCAGTCCAATAGACAAGCCGAAGTAACCATCAGAACGATTAAGTTGGCGCTGAAAACTAGGTTGAAAGCTTCAAAGTCACAATGGGTAGATTACCTCCCAGCGATATTGTGGGCATACTGAACAACAATGAGGACAACAACTCATCTGATGGCTTAACTTATGACTAAAATTTGAACTTTTAACACAGTAAATTTGTATATTTATATTTAATTTTTTGACCATAATAAATTTTTTAACCACGATAACTAAAATGCATTGCGCAAAGTACCCTAAGACTATGCATGAAACAAATAATTAAGCATTAAAAACTTGTCACTACACTTCAGATAGGAAAGACTTTAGAGGCTATCATCTCAAATTCACAGTTGTGATTCTCACAAAAGATTATTCACTTGCCCAATGCATACGGTTTGCATCTGAATCGTGCATATTCATAATTTTTATTACTATCATGAGTCCAAAATATACATGATTTAGATTTTTTTTTTATTTTAAAAAATGTTACAATGTCAGAGATTTTGTTGCCAAATTTTTAAAGATTACCATACTGAAAAAAAAAATCAATATTGTATCATCACATTTTACAAGTTTATGAGTTGACGTATAAATTTTTGGGTTCGTTTACAAAAAATAAAATTTTTAATTTTTTGAGTTATATTATAACTTTTAATGTCTGAATTACAATTTTTTTTGGGATCAATTTATAACTTTTGTAGTAACTTGGGATCATTCTAAGATCGATCTCAAGTTACCACAAAAGTTGTAAATAACAACCAAAAATTATTAAAAACAAATTATAAAATTCATAATTATTGTACCTTACCAATATTTTTTTTTGGGTACTATAGTCTTCTCCACAAATTGCTACTTGTAATAATCCTTAGGCGCGGTTCAATTGTTAAGTCTGACATTTGATAATTCAAAAGTCTTAGGTTCAGTCTTTTTATACACCACGTAAGAGTCAACCATCCTTGTTCTTTAGAGATATGTTATAACCCAGCTTAAGTTACAGTGACAACTACTGAGTTCGAAGAAATAATCGATTTAAATTTGAACACCCCGATGGCAAAAAAAAAAAAAAATTTGTTACCTGCAGTGGAAAGGGCAGACTGTCCCAAAAAGGCTAAGGGCAGACTGTCCCAAAAAGGCTAAGTACCAAACCGCAGAGTTAAGGAATCACTTGATTACGAAAGAAGGAACGCAGCCGCTCTCTGGCTGACCACAGCACCTCTCTCTATATTCACTCTCCTCAACACGTATCCTTTCATTCCCTTTTACGTATTCACTCATATAAACACAAATACCCTTCAATGTCTCTAAGTGCCCAAACCCAGACTAGTAGGAGAGGAGTGGGAAATGGCTTCCCACCTTGGTATACATTCAACAGTCTTGTTTCTCTTGCTTCTTATTTCATCTGGTAAGTTAACATTGCATTTTGATATCATTTTTTCCTTGCTCTCATTTCATCGTTTGGTTTTGCTGTGAAAATAGAACAAAAAAGAAAAATAAGAGGTTACCCTTGAATAGTTGGTATAAAGATGGTATGGTTTCACTTCTACAAGTTCCTTCGTTTTTTAAGAACATATGGTTTCTATTTTTAGCATTTCTTATTCCCCTTGCCCCTTTTTTTTGGGAACATTTGGGTCACGCATCCAAGTATTGTTTTTAGGACAAGTTTTAAAAAAAATATTTTTTGGTATTTTTTGTGTTTCAACACTTGTTTAATTAAATGATTCAAAAAACAGTTATATGAAATAAAAAAAAAAGAAACTTGTTTGAATAATAATCCAAAAAACAATAAAAACAGAAATGTTGTGGTGGTGGTGGTGGGAATAGACGTCGTGGTGGTGAAAGTATGGTGGTATTTTTTAAATTCTGAAAAAATTGTTTCAAAAAACACACAAAACTTTCTTGACTTGACGTTAGGAGAGTCAAGGGAAAACACCATACCTATATAGAAGACCCGTTGTTCGCTAACTTTCTAAGGTCTAACCTTTCACTCCCCTACTGAAAAAGGACAAAGCCGCTTTGCACCACTGATAGAGTACTTAAGATTTCATTCAAAATGCCCCACGTTCTCTAAATCTACTTAATTTTTGTTCTTAGTTTTCAAAAAACAACTTTCTTCCATAAATTATTTCCGAAAATAAAAAAATAGCATCTAAGATGCAAACAAAAAAAGTCTTGATAACGTTGTTTTGTTTTTATAAGTTTATTTAACTTCTGTGTAATATACTCAATAGGGATAATATTATCCGAATGCACGAATTTCACCATTGTAAATGGCTGCAAAGAGACCATATGGCCCGGAATATTACCTAACGACAACTTCAACGGTGATGGTTTCGCGTTAAAACCCGGACAATCCGCCATTTTCACAGCTCCACCGGGGTGGAATGGCCGGATTTGGGGTCGAACCGGTTGCAATTTCAACAAAAAGGGTAACGGAACATGCCAAACAGGAAGCTGTGGTAGCAACCAGAAATGCACTACCCCCGGGCAGCCACCAGCTTCAATTGCCGATTTTACCCTTGGACAAGTTGATTTTTACGATGTTAGCCTTGTCGACGGATTTAACGTACCTTTGATGGTCAAACCTGTTGGGGGTAAAGGAAACTGCAGCACTGTAGGGTGTGACAGTGACTTGAGGGAAAAATGTCCATCGGAGTTGGCCGTTAAATCGGATGGGAAGACTGTTGCTTGCCGGAGCGCATGCAACGTGTTCAACACTGACGAGCTGTGTTGTCGAGGAATGTACTCTGATCCTGCTGCATGTATGCCCAGTAACTATTCAAGGACATTCAAAGAGGCTTGCCCTGCAGCTTATAGCTATGCACATGATGATCCTACCAGCATTGTTACTTGCTCTGCAACAGACTATATATTGACATTTTGTTCGTCGAGGTATGCGAATGAATTTTTTATACAACTACATTACTGTTTGGTAAAACCATTTCGTCGTTAAAGTAAAAACATATTTGATCACCAAATGAATATTAATACGTAAATAATATGCTTGTGTATGTGAATATGTATACCACTATACATGGGATTAAGCTTGGAAGAAAGAAGTAATCCCAGAGAAGAAAAAAAAACCAAAACTAAATTTACAATAGCAATGCAACTCATTTATGATTACTTAAAAAAGTAAAGTAGTAGTTGAACAATGGTCATTAAATGGTACCTAAGTTTATAAGTGAACATCAATGTTGTGCAACTCACAAGTCTATATCTAGCTTAGCAAAGCATATGAAACATTCAAAAACACTTCTGTCACATAAACCAATGGATCGGGGACGTAGTGCCAACAAGGGGGTGATTGTCTTCCTAAGAATTTGAAAAATCTTCCTTATTGTACTAGTATGAACTATAAATGCCTCCAAACTGTATTGGCTCATCCCATCATAATTGTTTGCGAAAATTATAAAGCCCACCCTCTAGATTTTGTCCCGCCGGGTTAACTTCTTGAATATGTTTCTTGTCTATCACATACTTGCTCATCGTATTTGTTGGTATTGATTCTAGGAACCAAACACAGTGCACTTATCATGATGGGAAGCTTGCTTGTAATGGTTCAAATGGCTTAAAGGCAATCTCTCAGATATGGCTGATCTTGGTGCTGGCACTGCCAACAATAATCCACTTACCACCCACATTTTGACCTTGTAAATGTGAAAGCACCTTTTTTTTGTCTAGATGAGTTCATTTATTTTGATGATTCTATAACAATTTTCTTTTACGCACCTTTTCTTTGAATGTGGGTTTGCTTGCAAGAATGTGAATTATATAGAGAGCTTATTGAAGAAATATATAGAGAGCTTAATACATAAAAGGGTGATGATTTACCGTCTCTAATGATAAGCTTGAGTCATCTGAGTTTCTTGGTAAAGATTTTTGATCGAAGGGCAAGCCAGATCCCCAGAGCTTTGTGACATTCTGGTAACAATTTCCAGTCATAAGCTAATTCTCCAAGGGCAAAAATAAGGTTATAAACATAAAAAAGAAAATACAAAATTTATTGCTGCTGCTTACCTACCATATGGGGTTTCAGTACATAAGAAGTTGGAGACACATAAACATGGAAAATGCATGAGTTCTGAAATGTATTCAAGGAATTGAAATGGCGATGCTTACCGATGCTTATGAATTGGTGAGGAATTGAAATGTATTCAACCAGCAGTCATTTGGAGGTTCCATATGCCAAAGAATTGGCAAGCATTTACACCAGCAGTCAGAATCATCACAAAATATGATGCTAATGGTTTCCTGCTTTTTTCTAAATAGGCACAGAAACACAATCATAATCAAAGACTTGTGACTAGATAAAACTCAACATGTCTATATCTGGGGGCTACAGAACAATACAACCCAAATCAAACTGTTACAGCCCTCGTAATAGCAGCCTGGAAACGTGAAATGAATAAGAAAAAGATCATTTTTATAATAACATGGAATTAACATAAAAAGTTTAGAGGAACATCCAAAGACAATAAAGAAAAAGAACCATCGATTTCTGCTTTTTTTTCTTTCTGAAATTTAGCAGTACAGATACTTATACCAAACTATTCGTAAATCTATATGAAAAATGTTTACGTGGACTTGCTCTGAGTTCTTTCTGAATATTCTATGTCATTGATTTCCTTCCTTTCACTTATTGCCCCATTCTCATCACCCTCAAAAGGTAATACCATAACAGGGGCTGCAGGCACTGTGTCCCAACGCTCTTTCAGAAAACTCATGAACCTCAAAACCATTTGTCTCCGGAATTTGAGCTCCCTTGTGAAGAGATCGAAGACAAGAAAAGCACTAATGTATTTGAACGGAATGATGAGGAGAATGACAGAGCTTAATAGCAGCACCTGAGCAACCTCAGTCGATATCTGAAAAGATTTAAAAACAAACTCAACCGAATCAAGGAAGCGAGGAAAGAAAAGGAGGGGGGGGGGGAGTTCCTTTGAAATTTCGAAATTCAAATCACATAAATGATAAACCACAAAATTTCACAAACGACCATCTTGTGCCAAATGACTCACTAGTTTTAAGGTGGTGCCACCATCCTTCTCTGCCTCTTTCTCACAGTCACATACACATACAAAGATACATGCCTAAACACAAATCTTATCATAATCTAACCACCAGAAAGTCTAATTATAATGCATATATGTTTGGATATTTCATGTCTCTCAAACTTAATAATGTACATGCGTCCATTATCTTTTTTCCCAAAATGCAAATAAAGTATCAAGTATAAAATTAGAAAGTGTACAATCCATGTATGAAGAAAGAATAAAAAAATTAGTTCATATGTAACACAAGCTAAACCACCACAACAAAACAACAAATGACCATTGGGCCTCTACAACAGTTTCCTGAAGCTGCAACACTTATATTTTTTCTTCCAATAAGAAATGACGATTTTATTAAATATCAAAGAAAAGAAAAAGTACAAAAGATTAGTCAAAAGTGGACAAGTTGTCCAAACCAGAGACACATCAAAATAAAACTAAAAAACGACAACTTGAAAAACTCCAAAACTACATCCCGCACGCAGCTGTCCAGCTCAATATAATGGAAAAAAATGGACTATTCACGAATTCTTTAAACACTGAGGCCCAAAAAGATGCCAAAAAATAAATCATGTCCCATAGGGGACTTCAAACCTCCTCACATTTATCATAAAAAATACTCGCACTCCTTTCCAACTATATAACCTAGACAATTGCACAGCAACCACAACCCCAAAAAGTCTTCCATCTTCTATTTTCCCCACCACCCGTAACATCCAAACATATCATAGAAAATATAGTTCTCAGTTCCACCCAACATATTCCCAAGTAGCTAAACAACTTTTTCCAAAAGTGCGAGCGCTATAGGGCAAGGACAATGTAAAAACAACTTATCCACACCCTCACAATCACCTTTGCACATATCGCATAATTGCGGTTGAAGACAACCCATAGGTCTTCTTTTTTCAAAGCACATCGTAAGTGTTAATCTTATCTTGAGCAATAATGCATATACAAACTTGCATATTTAAAGGGACTCTAACTTCTCAAATCATCCTCGATGGGGGAACAAAGGAATAGATGAATCACTAATTAAAGACTAAAAAAAAGATTTAAAGGAGAAAATACTTTCAGAGTCAATAGTCCAACATCTTTTGTCTAAACAACCTTCAGTCAAGGAAACATTATTAAGCGAAAAAAGGAACTCCACCAACTCCATACATTCCCTATAATTGAACCTTCTACGAAAACCAAAATCCTATGACATGGAAAAAGAATAGGAGTATAGGACCGAATTAGTGAAGCAATCTTATGACCATGAAACCTGAAAATTCGATAAAGACGAGTAAAAAAGATTATAATGAAGAATCACCAACCCAAATAGGGGGAACAAAGGAATAGATAAATCATAAATTTAAGACACAAAAGAAGTTTTACACAAGAAAATGCCATTAGAGGCAATAGTCCAACATCTTTTATCCAAACAACCTTGAGCCGAAAAAAAAGAAGTTCCACCAACTCCAAACATTCCCTATCATGAAGCCTCCTACGAAAAGCCACAAGTTCTACTTCAATGCCGTTAAAAATTGCAAGGAGAGTTCGACATTAAGAAAATTCCACAACTGGTTCCTTCAAAACTCTCCAAACCGCGGTCACCTAACCCCAACATATAGAATAACACAAAAATCTTATACCCCAACATTTTTTAGAATAACACAAAAATCTTATATCCCACATCATCCCCCCCCCCCCCCCCCCCTTTTTTTTTTTCTCTTTTCTTATGTAGGATACCTAAGTAGCTACCTCAGAGACTGCAAAAAGTTTGAAAATGAGGTTAGGCAAAAATTCCTTACACCAAAAAATTAATAATCAAACCCAACATACTAAAGGCCTGTTTGGTGCTGGCTGATAACATTAGTTTTTTTTGGTTTTAGAGGATAAGGAGTCTGATCCGTTTGGACCCGGGCTAATTAGACAGCTTTTCCATCAGTTTTTTTGGGCAAAAACAACTTTTATCAGTACTAAGAAAAAACTGAAAAATAGAACTTATTCAAGGGCTTCCAAGGAAAAACCGCTTTTTCGAAAACACTTCAAACGGTTGCAAGAGTTTTTTAATTCTAACTTTTTCATTTAACTTTTCAAACATCTGTTTTGCACTCAAAAAAGCCTACTCCAAACGGCCTCAAGTCTCCAAACCCCAGCATATAGAGCCCACTTGTTTTGTCATTGAATTGCCAACTAGGACTTATTTTCCCATACGTCTGTTGAATTAAAAAACATCCACTTTATTGCATTCCTGAACATGACCTCTGGCCCTTCTCCATTCCGAAGTGCCCAAGCAGTTTCCCAACTCCCAAGTGATGTATTGATTGTTCAATAAAATGTATTGCCTATACATCGCATAATTTTGAAATGTTCTCTCTTCTAAATGATACCCACAAAGAGATAAGAATGGGATTAAAACAGTCCATTAGCTGTCAATAAGCCTGAGCTTGAGTTGGAAACGAACTAGGGCTGTTTATAACTTTCGATATATAAAGAAAAATTTATGTGATGTGTTACAGATTTACTCTACTATTTATTGAATACCATCTTTCCTGATAGAGAACATACGAGACCTAAAAGACTAAATTTTGCATGAAAGCTCACATCAAAATCTGATGCCATACATCTCAAGAGTTTTGATGAGTTAAACATACCTGAGGTTGGCCAGCAAGAACAATTGAACGTATTTTAAGCAAGGAAACATTCAGATTCTGGAGATATTTTTCTACTTCACGCATGGCCTCTTTTACAGCTATGATCTTTTGAATGGTATTTGATGGCGGCTGATCATGTATAGTAACTTTTCCAAAAAATCTTCCAAGCCGACCTTGCTCCTTGAGCCCTTTCAGTAGTAACATGCCAGCTGCCAATATCATCAAAGTCGTAGGGAATATATATGACAGCAAGTTTCTGACCAGAACAGATATCAGAGTTTGTAAACATCAATTTTGTTGCACCATGACATTTATCAGTGCAAATAATATAAAGAAAGCTTTGAGACCACAATTATACAATGTGCCTCCAGCAATAAATCCAATAATGGAATCCAATTAATGAACTTTTGGTCACATTGAGAATTAGATGGATCAAATCTTCCTCATGAGTTGTGACAGAAGCCATATTCTTTCAAGTCTGATTTTTTTGGGTAAATTTCATACATGCCCCTGACCCTGAACTAGTTGTTTTAAATTATCCCTGAACTTTTAATTGTCCTAATTTGCCCCTTGAACTATTTAATTTGTTTCAGTCAACCCCTTCCGTTAAGATTAACTGACAAATGAGACAAATTTGTGTCTCATTTAACGATTAATCTTAACGGAAATGGTTGATTGACATAAATTACATAGTTAAAGGGCTAAATTCGAACAATTGAAATTTAGGGGCAATTTAAAATAAAGGCCATAGTTCAGGGGATATTTATGAGAATTACCCAATATTTCAAATAATGTATTCAAAATAGATTGCAGAGCCACCAAACAACATTGGAATACAATAAAAATTATGCAGAGTATAACATATCATACAAGACTATAAGAATTTATAAACTAAACGGTTAAAAAGCAAGAGAAATATGTATGTATGTAGAAATAGCATGCATATACCCATAACAAATGTACATACATATCCACGAGGAAGAAATTCCAATAAAACTTGCTTTAAGCACAATTTTCTTAAAGACATATAATGATGGGTTAGAATAGTAAAAAATAAAAGAAGGCTCTGGAGAAAAGCTAGTTATAGTGAAGATTTTTTTCACACAACACATGCGAAGACGTGCACAGACATGCATAGAACTCTGCAAGTTACAAGAGATAAAAACAGAAAGAACTCAATTAGCTCAAATAGAAAGATATCTTTGAGTCAATGACAGAATAAATCAGTTTGATCTAAGTTGTAGGTGACAACTTCTATATGCATAAGTCCTTTCTGAGATAGTTAACCTCCAAAGAGGCATGTGTTGAGTACACTATAAGACGAGGAATTGATACCTTAAGAATTTATCAAAAAAGCAATAATCATAATGGTCTTACCTGAATATAATTGTATATACAAATAAAAGAAAAGATGCAGTCAAGTGGGGTTCCTCCCATCGCCTGAGCTGTTCAAAGTATTTGGCAATGACAGTCAAAGGAAGCATAAGTTCCTGAAGAAAAACAAAATTCAAATTCTATTAACATGAGCAAGATAAACAGAAGCATTAGAACAAATAGAAGCAAAACGACGATAAACCTATGGAACAACACTACATCTGATTCCATGTGATGATATCACTGACAAACTTCGTTAACAATGTGAACAATCTGTTAGCAGAATAGGCAATATGTCAGACGGATATGTGCTGGCCTAGCCTATTAAGGAAGCATATATTCTACCTTATTTAGTCTATATTGTAAATTAGCTGTAGATATGCCTGTAATTGATAGGAGTTTATTTTCGTCAGTTACTTACCTTGCATAGACAAATGTAATGGCTGATTTTCAGCCTTGTAATTAGGCCGACAGTCTCTATATAAATGAAGGCACTCTCACACAGAGAAATTCAAACCATTTGACATGGTATCAGAGCCCCTTGTTTAAATTCTTCTTGGTTTTTCTCTCGGTTGCCCAGGTTCTTACTTTCTTGGTTGGGTTTCTTCCTCACAATATCAGGGCTGTTGGAAACCTCTCTATACGTTCTATCGGCAGTCTCTGTGTGAATTTTGAACGCTCATTCTTGGCTGTTTGGTCTCTTTGTGGGCTGTCGGCAGTTTCTGTTGAAAGTTTTGGGTATCGGAATTGTTGGGCTGTCAAAAATCCATCAATTTTCCGTGCAGCTCTCTCTTCCTTTTGGGTTATCGGTAGTTTCTGTGGGTATCGAAATACTTTGAACTGGTTTCTCACCGTGTTCTGTGGGTATCGGGATTTTCTGTTGCTCTTCCGGCGTATTTTCCTTTGATTGAATCCTCTTTGGTGTATCGGTGGGTTTTTTGGTTGTTCTTTCTTGTTGGGTTGGGATTGGTTGTGTTGGCGTTGGGTTTTTTTTTCAGCAGTTGGTTGTGTTCTACGTTGAGATGGGCCATTTGCTTCGTTGCATTGGACTGTGTTTTTCAGCCACTTCTCTGAATAGTCAATTGTTCACATAAATTGATTTTTCAGACAATTTTTCCAGTTCAGGATGTTTGTGAAAAGGAAGGAATTATGGGGTTATATGGAAGGGTCTTCTACGGCTCCAACTGATCCCAAGGAACTTAGTTCATGGGAAGGCAAGGATGCCAAAATTGCTTCCCAGCTACTAAGTTCTGTTGAACCCCATATGGTCAACAATCTCTGTGGGTTCAGTACTGCTAAGGAGATGTGGGATTACCTTCGACGGATTTATTATCAAGATAATTTTGCCCGCAAGTTTCAATTGGAGTTAGACATCGCCGACTATCGTCAGGGGAACCTCTCAATTGAACAGTTTTATTCGGGTTTTTCTCATTTTATGGAGTGATTATACTGGGTTGGTCCATTCTAAGGTTCCTAAAGATGCTTTAGCGGCACTCCAAGCGCTTCATTCTGGGAGCCAGCGGGATCAATTTTTGATGTAGCTCTGACTCGAGTTTGAAAGTGCACGACCTGAGTTGATCAACCGCAAACCTGTACCATCCTTGGATGTCTGCTTGGGGGAACTCTTACGTGAAGAATAGTGTCTCGCCTCACAGCTTGGGATCGTTCAAGACGCTGTTAGTACTGAGATGGTCAATGTGGCCTACGCTGCTCAGGGCAACAGACGATCCAAATCCTCGCCACAGTGCTACAATTGCAAGGAGTATGGGCACATTGCCAAAAACTGCAGCCAAAAGTTCTATAATTATTGCAAACGGGAGGGCACATTATGAAAGACTGTCGTGTGCAACTTCAGAATTGATCGGCTCCTGTTTTTCATACTGCTGTTCAGTCCAATTTTGTGACATCCTCCTCGGATCAGTCCGCTGTCCAAAGTTCTTCCACACTTACACCAGAGTAGGTCCAACAGATAATCGTTTTCGCCCTCTCTGCTCTTGGTCTCCAAGGTAAGAAAACCCTACTACACTCTCCTTGGTTGTTTGACTCTATGACTTCCAATAACATGACTGGCAGTACAAACGCTCTACATGGTGTTCGTAAGTATGACGGTGAGCAACAAATGCAGATAGCCGATGACAATACTCTTCCTATCACTGTTGGAAATATGGGGCCTTGCTTCTCCGATGTTTTTGTGTCTCCTGATTTATCAACCAATTAGTTTATGTTGGCCAATTGGTAGAAGATAAGTGTTCCCTTCATTTTGATCATGGTGGTTGTCGTGTGCAGGATCAAGCGTCGAGGCAGGTGATAGCGAAGGGGCCTAAAGTGGGACGCCTTTTTCCTCTCCAATCGTTTTCTATTCCTCGTTTAGTTTCTTTAGGTTGTTCTGCGGTTACTAATACTAGCCATGTTTGGCATAAGAAATTGGGACATCCCAATTCTGTTATATTAAAATATCTTATGAAGCAGGGTTATTTGAGTCAGACACATTAGTTTTCTCCCTCTAATCTGTCTTACGATTGTGCACCTTGTAAACTTGGTAAACGCAAAACTTTACCTTCTCCTTTGCAAGGTAGTCGTGCTTCTACATGTTTTGAGATAATTCATACTGATGTTTGGGGTGTGAGTCTTGTTCTTTCTCATGCTCAATACAGGTACTTCGTGACATTTATTGATGATTATAGTCTTTTCACTTGGGTCTATTTTTTTTGTTCTAAAGCAGATGTGTTTTCTATCTTCCAAGCTTTCGTTACTTATGTGAAAACACAATTTTCTACTTGTACTAAGATTTTACGTTCTGACTCTGGGAGAGAATATATGTCACATGATTTTCAGAATTTTCTACAGAAGAAGGGTATTCTCTCTCAGCGTTCATGTTCGTACACCCCTCAACAGAATGGAGTAGCCGGGCGTAAGAATCGACACCTTTTAGATGTTGTTCATACCTTGTTACTTGAATCTTTTGTACCTCCTACATTTTGGGTAGAAGCACTATCTACTGCTGTTTTTTTGATTAATCGTTTGCCTTCCCAATTTGTTCAGTGCGCCTTTCTTGGCTATAGTAATTGTCACAAAGGATTTGTGTTATAACGCGGATGTTAACAAGCTTCGTATTTCTCGAAATGTGATTTTCTTTGAAAATCAATATTTCTTTCCATCTCGTACTAATCCTATCTTGCCTTCTGTTTTGCTTCCTTCCTTTGATGATGATTTTCATCCAATTAATCGTTTCAAGCCAGGTATTGTGTATCAGCGATGTCACCCACTGCCTCTTCCTACCTCTAAACTGTCACTTGACCCTGTCTTGCATGAGCCCCTCCAGTTTACTCAGGTTTCACGGCCTCTGGATAGGTATGGATTTTCTCCCTCAGCTCTCCAGGTCACTCTTGATACTACTACTGTGCCTCTGTCTTACTCTCAGGCTTCTACTTAAACGTGTTGGCGCCAAGCTATGCAAGACGAACTTCAGGCTCTTCTGGACTATCACACTTGGGACATCGTCCCTTGTCCTGCTGAAGTTAAGCTTATTGGGTGCAAATGGGAATACACTATCAAGCTGCGTGCTGATGGCTTTATCGACAGACATAAAGCTCATCCGATGGCACTCAGGAATTGGCAGGAGTATGGGCTTGATTACGAGGAAACATTCGCTCTCGTGGCCAAAATGACTACGTTCGCACTATTATGGCCATTGCTGCCTCGAAAGGCTGGTTGCTTCACCAAATGGATGTGAAGAATGCATTCTCATATGGTGATCTAAAGGAAGAAATCTTTATGACTCCTCCTCCTGGCTTGTTTCCTTTCTCTTCTGCTCAGGTTTGTTGCTTGAAGCGGTCTCTGTATGCTTTGAAGCAGGCAACGTGGGCATGGTTTGAGAAGTTTCGTACTACTCCACTTAGAGTCAGTATGACTCCTCTCTCTTCTTTCGCAAGACTGATACTAGGATCGTTATCTTTCTTGTGTATGTAGATGATATTGGGATTACAGGATCTGATTCCCAGTTAATTGAGCAGCTCCAACAGTGACTCAAATCTTCTTTGCATATAAAAGATCTTGGTAGGTCCAACATTGTCCGAATGGCACACTCTTACATCAGCATAAGTATACCCAAGAACTTCTTTGACAATTATATTGAATGAACAAAAATTACCAGCAGCAAATAAGCCAGGCTTTGACAAAAAAAGAGAGGCCAGGCAGGACAAAAAAAGGTGGAAAAGAAGGCAGGCTAAGTCCAGCTGAGGGTCCAGCTAAACCTAGACAAAGGCAGCTGGAAGGTCAGCTGGAAACCAGCTAGAAAGGAAACCACAGCAGCTGCAAGAAAGCTCGAACCCAGAAGAGCAAAGGAGCACCAGTCCAGAACAAGCAGCATCAAAAAACAGGGGCAGCTGAACAGCAGGCAGCAGAAGCAAAAAGCAAGAGAACCAGCTGAGAATGCAGCTGAGAAACCAAAGGACCAGCTGAAAGCAAGGCCAGGTGAGGGCTGAAATCCAGCTGAAAACCAACTGAGAAACCAGCTGACAATCAGCTGAAACCCAGCAAAGAAGCACCAGAGAGACTGTTGCCTGATGCAGAGGGGAGGACCCAACAAAAGGTGGCTTTAATCCTTCAATGGAAAAAAGGCCTGAAATCAGTACCTGGGCACCCACCCAAGCAGTGCTGGACTGACCCTGCACAAACCCCATCAACAGAGAGACACCCCCAGCACAGCCATGCACAGCACAGCACACAGACAGACCAGCAGGAGACCAATGAAACAGAGAAGAACAGGAACCAGGCCAGCAGAAGGCAGCATAACACAAGAGGCAACAAACCAACCAATGCCATTGAACACAGAGCAGGAGTCTGGGCAGTAAACATAAACAGACCAGAACTTCTTTCCTTAGCCGGTCTTCAAGACGGTAATTTGGTTCTTACACCTATGGAGATCAATTTGAAACTGCGTCAGGCGGGTGGCGATCCCTTACCTGATCCCTCGATGTATCGGCGATTGGTAGAAAGTTTGAATTATTTGACAATTACCCCACCTGATATCTCGTTTGCTATTCAGCAGGTCAGTCAGTTTATGAAGGCTCCTTGCCAACACATTTGGCTGTTGTCCATCATCTCATTCGATATCTCAAAGGGACGTCTAGTCGCGGTTTGTTCTTTCCTTCAGGGAATTCTTTACAGTTGGAGGGTTTTAGTGATGCCAACTGGGCTGGATGTGCAGATACTGGTCGTTCTGTTACGGGTTGGTGTATGTTTCTTGGCGATGCCCTTATTTCTTGGAAGAGTAAGAAGCAGGATTGTGTCTCGAAGTCATCCACTGAGCCTGAATATCGGGCTATGTCGTCTACCTATTCTGAAATTGTTTGGCTTCGAGGGTTGTTGGGCGAACTTAGTGTTCCGCAGCTTACTCCTACTCCTCTTCATGCTAATAATACTAGTGCTATTTAGATTGCTGCCAATCCCCTTTTTTCATGAGCACACCAAGCATATTAAAGTGGATTGTCATTCCATTTATGAAGCGCTTGCTCGCCATGAGATTACTCTTCCTCACATTTCCACCTAACACCAAACTGCTGATGTCTTTACCAAGGCTCTCTCTCGTCACCACCATTAGTTCCTGTTTGACAAATTGATGCTTCTTGATCACCCAACATCAATTTGAGGGGGATGTTAGTGGAATAGGCAATATGTCAGTCGGTTATGTGCTGGCCTAGCCTATTAAGGCAGCATATATTCTACCTTATTTAGTCTAGTTATGAATAGAAAGTATATTGTAAATTAGCTGTAGATATGCCTGTAATTGATAGGAGTTTATTTTCGTCAGTTACTTACCTTGCATAGACAGATGTAATGGCTGATTTTCAGCCTTGTAATTAGCCCGACAGTCCCTATATAAACTAAGGCACTCTCACAAAGAGAAATTCAAACCATTTGACACAATCTAGGTTGGTATCTACTAACAAAGATAAGTTGCTACAGTTTTATGCTTTGGTTTCTACCCTAGTGGACTTATCCATTTCAGCTCTACAAGATGATCTGCAATTCTGGTCACTTCATTTGCAACATTGTTGTGCAGCAGTCAGTTCATTCAGGTTACTTTAGAGTCCAACTCATTTAATAGCTTGTTTTGCAACTTATTAAGGTTGCATTTGGCGCAATTACATATTTAGCGAATATGTGTTTTGAAAAAGCTTTTGAATTAATAAGTGCATTCATAAATAATGAAAATGTTTAGTGGCAATGTGCTAGAAGGCTAAAACAATATTTACATACCAAAATTATCCTTAATGCTATCATTCCTATTTTTATTAACTTTATTTTATCCAATTTATTTTAACAAATATTTAAAACAATTGAACAAAATTTCAAAGAAATAACTGTAATATTAATCATTATATATCAAATTAATTTTAAATTTTATTTATTGCTGTTCTATCTACTAGATGAAACTTAAATAACATAAATACACTGTTCAAGATCTGAACTATACATAAGATGCATTTGAAACAAAAAGATACACAAGGAAGACAGGAAACGAATGATTACATCGATTCTAACAAATGACAAACAAATGTATAATGGGCAGATTAATGCACTTCCTAATTAGATGTGACTAGTCTACTAATTGATTGGACTACACTGTCAGTAAGTGGTGGAGTCCATCTAAGTTTATAAATTTAAGAGTTTTACGTTAAAACAAGACAAGAAGTTAGATTAACGATGATAAATATTGAAAATTTATTTAATCACTTAAATGATATAACGACTATGCAAGAAATCATTCTAGGGCCATTTTGAGAAGCCTGGAAAGGTAATAAATAGACTTCTAGGACTTAAAGGCCCTTCTAGAAGTGCCTCCAAATACACTCCAAGTATCATGTTTCAAAATCATCATTGAAATCAAGATTATAGTGTTAAAATACCACCGAACATGCAAAGGAGATATATTGTTAGACAAGAGGTGGCTATGCCCAAATGAAGATGTGGTATAGCTTGTAAATTATTAAACAAGAGAGGCCATGCTGGTATAGGTTCTTGAGTAAAGGTGACGTGTTTTCAGACTAAAGTGCGCCATTGCATTATTAGGAAAATTAAAAGCGGTTGAAAATAATCCAAAAACCTACATACAGAATTTCTAATCTCATAAAACCATCCTGTTGCATGACCGAAGTCTTCCAAATTTTCACAGATTTAGTTGTTGACAGCAAGTTGAATCAAGAATGTTCCAGTATAAACTAGCAGATAACCCAAATTACCATGTAATCAAGACAGCATATACAAAATAAAAAAAAAAAATTATGGTAAATCAAAAAGAAAAACATATTTGCTCAAATACCGACAATCTAAGTAACAATATATAAATTCCAAAATCATGCTTCATCCATTCACCTCTCGCAGACCTCAATATAGGGTGGAAACCTTGTGAACTAGGTGCAATTTTTCTATATCCGGCCTTCATCCACTAAGGGCTCGTTTGGTAAACGTATTATGAGGGGATTAAATATTGGATTGTATTATTTTTTATTTAATCGGACCTAATACTTTGTTTGGTAAGTAAATTTGACATCGTATTAATTTAAAAAACGTATACTTATCGTATATTTTTTATACGTTAGACCTGTATTATGGAGGTGTTATAATTCAACTCAAACGTATTATTTTACACATTTACCATTATAACCCTCTAATTGATAAAATCAAAATATCATCAATGTAACAAACACTGATTGAGGGTATTTTTGTTAATTCAACATTCATACGATAAAATAATTCCTTAACCAAACAACCGATTAGATTAAATAATTACTATCCAACGTTTATGTTGTGTATTACCAAACACTAGATAAAATCATGTATTATTCTAATACTATATTTAGTCTTGTCTTTTGTCCTTCTGTATTGTATTAGACCAGGTTATTTTATCTAATCCATTCATTTCTAATACGGCAACCAAACGAGCCCTAAATGACTTGGCCAGTCAAGTATATCTTAAATGCTTATAAGCGTAGAAGATAATCAAGTAATATTTCAGTTGCATATAACTGTACATTTTGATTATTAATTTTCAAACTGAAAACCATGATTAGCTAAAACTTATTTACACCATACAGTTTATAAGATAAACCATGACTTAATAAGAGAAAGCATGTATGGGTTAAGGAGTAGTGCAATTACCAGGCATAAATTTGACAATCAGAAAAAAGAAAGACAATATGAAAGAACCAGACAGAGTCCAACCTTGAAAAGGTCAACGTTACTGGGTATCCCTTCAATCATTGCTGCGTCGATTGTGGCTTGTGTTTTTTCAACCACCCTGTATTTGTCTCTGCATGTAATTGCAGCCTTCTCCACCAAAGTCCTATCAGCGACAACAAGATTTTTACTCAATACCACCCCCTGTCTTACTGAAGAGTTTTTCCAGAAAGCAACTGAAGCACTAGAAGCCCATGATGGAGATCTCATCCACTTACGCAAGTATACACTGCCATCTATGTCAAACACGTGATTACTACTATCTGGTACATCATTAGTGGACCTTGCTCCTTGACCTGGTTGATACTCCCCCTCCGTAAACTTTGTAAGCAATGGTCCACCCCAACAATTTACAGCCAGAGTTTGGGAAACAACATCCCCATAGGGTGCATTTTGCAAGTATGAGAATTGAACAAGTTTAGTGGGTTCATCCAAGAGTTTCCGTATAAACCGAAGAGCCTGAAGTCTCGAGATGCCATTAATAGCATAAGTAGTAGCCCTTGCCTTTCCTTTCTGAGCACCATACACATGGTATACAGATTGATCACCATCCATTGGTCCATACTCCCGTATGAACTTGTGTAAACAAATAACTTCACTGATCAAAGCATGCCACACATCTCGTCTCATTTCACCTCCAAAGTCAACAAATTCAAGCACCCACGTTTCAGACCTGAGAAGACGCGTACACTTGAGATATGAACTAATTGATCTTAAGAGAAAATATAAGAGTGAGAGTTTCATTGTCATAATTTATCAGAAATCAAGCTACTTGTGTATGTTACTCATCTAATTTCATATTGCATGCATGAGTTCCATTGAAAGATATATGTTCCCAACTGAATTATCTTGAAAGGAGGTCCACCTACATCGCACCAATGTTGTTTTCGGTCCAGATGCTAGAGGGGGAATTTATTTTGACACTTCCATGTTGCTACACTAGCTTGCCATGCAATGAATCCTTTCATGAAGAAAACAAGGGACAACGACTTTTGCTTCTGCATACCTAAATTAACTACCTAATTTTGCCAGTGCAAGGTTTCAGATCAGCAGCAAACTGAGGAACATTAACATACAACATTTGTACAGTTAAACAAGCATGTGATTCTATGATTCCCTCTAAGAATTGGAAGTAAGTTTTCTCTTTTTAAAACTAGAGTTTACGCATGGTTCAAGGTCGCGGACTCACGGTACCAGCCTTCGACTTGGAAGACAACGATACACATCGGTTGTGGCTTGATAGCTACCAATACTCTCAAACACTAGATAAAAGGTCCAAAAGTTAATGAAAAATTCAATACAAATTCTAAGAAATATGTACAATATTATCCTTGCATCATAAGTCCAAAATACATCATTTGTCACTTTTCACGTGAAACATCATGAAAATGAAATATGAGGGTGTCACCCAAAATATTTATCATCATTGGTTAATTCAATCTAAAAACATACGAACCATAATTTTCATGGGGATCATTGCCAATTCAATGATAGCAATAGATCAGGACTTCAAATTAAGTCTTCAAATTAAGCATAAATAACATTACTAATTAGTAAAGTACACCAATGTAATGCAACAGATCTATGAAGGAGTTAGTTAATAGGAAAAAATACAGCTACACTATATAAATATTGGGTCACCCAAGGAACAAATGAAAAATACCAGACAATTATATTATAGAATATTATAAGTAATAACTTTAAAGGACCACACTTACCCAAAAAAAAACATCAAATAATCCCTCTCATGCGTGACACAAAGCAATTCACAAATTCGGTAATGGAGAGAGAGAGAGAGATTGCTTCAGCTTGAAAATCAGATCACAATGGAGCTCCATTACCCAAGCAGAGTCGTGATAGATTATCACGATGAGAAGAGGGAGACTCGCTTGAAATCACAGTGACTTGATTTTCTATTGATTGCTACCAATTTCTTTTTCTTCTTTCAGAATATAATACAGGTACTACATGGGAGACTTAAAAATTGCTCTGATTTTGCTTTTCATGTGAGTTTTTAGCAGATTTATTTGTCTTTTGTGTGGGTGTCGGCCTCATATTTTTCTTTCTTGTCCTTCTACTGATTTTTGCATGGTGGTTTGTTGTTTTTAACTGATTTCTATGATTTCATCACCAAACTATGAGCTAGTCCAAATTGAGCGAGTTAAGCACTGATTTTACCGAGTTGTCTTCAAGTTAAGGCATATTCGACTGAGATTCATGAATTTAGTGGAACGTGTATCGTTGTCGGTTCGATAGGGGGCCAAGTTAGATACAACTCAGACAAGTTGTATCAAATTCGGCCAATACTTTGAACCCTAAGCTAACATGTCATCTGCCACCACAGTTAGCATTCAAATAAATAGGGAAATTATCGCCGCAAGATGTGCCTAGACAGTAGAAAGATACACAGGCCCATGCTTCGATGCTCAAACTAGGAATTTTGCCCATCAGTCTGCATGTTTCACATATTCGACTGAGATTCATGAATTTAGTGGAACGTGTATTGTTGTCGGTTCGATAGGGGGCCAAGTTAGATACAACTCAGACAAGTTGTATCAAATTCGGCCAATACTTTGAACCCTAAGCTAACATGTCATCTGCCACCACAGTTAGCATTCAAATAAATAGGGAAATTATCGCCGCAAGATGTGCCTAGACAGTAGAAAGATACACAGGCCCATGCTTCGATGCTCAAACTAGGAATTTTGCCCATCAGTCTGCATGTTTCACCCTCCCCCCCCCCCTCCCCCCCAATAAAAAAAATCAAAAAAAAAAAGAAACAAACAAAAAAGATGCAAGCAAAAAAAATAGAAAAAAAAGGTTCAATTGGAATATCACCCATAAGATGCGATTTTAAAAACAAATGTACCATCCCACATGACTTGAACCAACATTTTAAAACGCGGTCCGAACATCGACTCGGCAAAGAGACCGGGTCACTGGGTCACTGGTCAAACCAGTAATATAATAAAAAAATTATTAATAATAATAAATATGCCAAAAAAATATAACAAGTGTAAAAATAATCATGTTTATTGTATGTGGATCAAACAAAACCAAAAAATTCAGATAAAGAATTTTGTCAAAATCTAAATTGAAAACTCGGAATCACATTTCACAACATCAATATTCAATTTGGATGATTCAATAGCAAAATTCTATATTCAACCTTACAAACCTCATAAATTAACAAATGAAAATAATTACAGTCAAATGCTACAACAACACAAATGAAAAAATAACAAAAAAAAATACATTTGAGATGAGATTCATGAGAATACAGAGGAAAGAGAGAGAGAGAGAATGGAGTTCGAAGTCTTTGGACTTCAAACTGTTCAAAGTCCAAACAATGGGCAACACCACACCAAATAATGATTAAATAACAAGTTGTGAACAACATGTCAAAAACTGTCCAAATTCTTCACTCAACGTTCTATGCCCACAGCGAAGGATGACGAGGCGACCATGAATAGATCGACAAACGACAACGGTGGTGGTGACGGTTGCTGCGCTGATCGAGAGATGGAGATGAGAATCTGAGAGAGAGAGAAAGAGACGAGTGAGGGTCAAGACGTTGTTTTGAGAGTAGAGATCGAGTACCGATTTGGGCAAAAAACCCCATTTCTGATTTTATAGCCAGTCAACGAGTCTTGGGCGAACTGGCCGGTTTTGACGGTTCAGCCAAAAATCGTCAGGTTCAACGGGTCTTAGACGAGTTAACTGCTCAAACAATCTAAATGAAGAACCGGCCCGGTTTAAGGTCAGGTTCACCGGGTTGTTGGGTCAACCCGCCGGGCCGGGTTTTAAAACACTGACCGGAACAATTCATAGGAAGTTTGAAAAGAAATTTAATATTCTGTTCCTCCAGGCTATTCTTTATATCAGAATCAAACAATTACCACCCAACAAAATGAAGAGAACAAATGCAACTGCTAAAACAGTGTTAAAAACATCTGTGCGAGCCCAATAAGAGGACTCGCTAAAAACGACCACCCTTGGCTCTCTGAACTATTATGATGATAATTCAAAACATGTACCATAAAAGCAAGCAATGTTTGACTCATTTAACAGCGTCAAAGTCTTCCCCTTTGCACACAAAAAAACACTGATTCAGATTCTTCTACTTAAACCCTGAAGGGCAAAAGGATATACAGGTCTTTTTACCAGTATGGACGATGATCAATTGTAGACAAGATTATGCACTGACAATAGACAGAAACCAACTAATCCTAGAAAGCAGCAATTTCAAATTGCATGGATACCCTTGCAATGTCATTGCCACATCCATAAGGACATTTTCCACTGATTCATCAAGGTCCTCTCAAAAAGATGTTAGCAATTAAATATCATCCTCTTCTTGAACATGATAAGAATTTCAAAAGTGTGACGAGACGACTACTGCTTCACAAAAGATATCAACAGATGACAAACATATAACATTTAGTTAATGTTATGTGAAAGAAACATTTTTTCCTATTAAAAAGATCAAATTCCATTATTAATCCAGAAGAATTGCAACGTGAAGGCACTTGTCAAAGGAAATCCCCTTCTGATCGATGTTTGCAACCACACCTTGGTAGACTTTCTTGGTTATCTTTATCAAATTCAATACTTCTTGCTCCAAATTAGATCTGGTTTTTGTCTTCCAACTCCATTTTAAAGCGTTTGCTTTTCTATCACTAGCGACTCCCCGTCATCCCATTTTCGTTGTCATTTAAATAGGACTTTTTATTGGGAAAAAAAAATCATAAGTCGTTACTCAAATTTTGTTCTGCCCTCAAGAATTAAAATGGACACTTTTCACTAAAATAGGAAATGAGTTATCAATAACAGATGAAAACGTGTTAAGTGTCGTCTGCGATGATAAATCTGGATTAGTCCCTGTTTGTTCTTTCCCTACGTAATATAAAAGCATGAAAATAGGTCATCAACAGAATTAAGTAATTTACTGTACTAACAAGCCGAAATAATAGCTGCTAACAGCTAAAGAAGTTATATTTCACAAAAGTTATGTAAGATGCTTCTGCTGTGTACAACAGAAATTTTTTTATAACGAATTTGAAAATATCTTGTCTAATCCTACAAAGATGGGTTTGGAGAAGCTTACTCACTCCGGACCGTAGGTAACAGAGACTGCAGAGTCAAATAGATCAGATCCGAAAGGCCCAACCCTCGTTTTCTCTACTCGTGAACCTTCTCTTGTAAGATCCAGTCTCAAAGCATGTCTTTGCCCCGCCAAGCCAACTGCCTGCAACAAAGTCCAATAAAACACACCACCTGAGTCAACTGTTATTAAACATGCAGAGGACAATACTCCTCATTTACCATCTGCCACTTAACCTGTTTTACACCTGGATAAAGCTCAAATTACGACCCACATCTCAATATTTGAGGTGATTATGCCATGCAGTTAGTTGTTTGACTCCATATAGGACAACAATCACAATGTCCACTTCCTAGTCAAATATGTGATGAGCAGACCCTGAAAAGTGAAAAATCAGAAAGCCCCAGTAGCTACTTTGTACCAGCCATTTCTAAGTCACTCATTTCTGCATTGGTGTTTCCAATAACAACCAATATACAATCTTAGAAATGCACCACGCCATTGTCAGCAAGTCAAACTACCTCTTCAATTTTCTATGGTTCACAAAAAACAGCGGCACTTGTCTTTTGCTTTATTAAATGCTCAATAACTACCAACTTCGAATGAAGCATCAATTTGATTTGCATGCATATTTTGCGAATTTCAACAAAAATCTGAACAAAGGCTTTCAAACAGCTTGTGCTTAGGCTACTAATGATTTCCACATGGATCAGGTTGAATATAAATGCTTACATCATATGCAAACAGAAGTTGCACATGAAATTAGCAAACAAAACTGAGGTGCAGACCACAAAAGCACTTTTAGCATCTATGACAGAAACAATTAACGAATAGGTTTAGTGTGTGTTAAATTGTTAATTGTGAAAGCAGAAAGACTTTGCCAAAGTCACTGATTAATAAAAAGTAATATCCCAAGTAAAATGGGACCACAAGCAATCTACTAATTCCCAATAACGCAACCTTTGTTTTTACTAGACATATAATCTCTCAGCTGCCAGATAACAAATACCTCAAAGTAGAGTGCCCTATCAGTCAAAGTAAGTTTTCCTGGCCATGCCATGTTATTTTCCCATTTTAGAACAGGTCGCTTCCGGCCAGAACTGAGACATAAGATCCTCTCACTAGAAAGATGTGGGTAATCTTCAGAATTGTATGCTCTCGGACGTTCATGCACTCTACGCCAGATGAAGACAAACAAGAAAATTGATCAAAAACAGGTTAACCAGTAGAAATTGAGCTTACTGGTACATACTGAAAGATTAGTTCATGAATATCGCTCCCGTGTAAATTATTACAATTGATAGCAGCATGTTGACATGATGGCCCTTGAAAAGCGATAAGTATAGCATATTTGTCAGTCCACAAAGATTAGAATATTGACCAAAGAAAAAGAACATTGCAATAATAAGGATGGAGCAGACACTTGTTCAATAAGGATAATTGGAATACCAGGCAAAATATAGTCAAGCGATGCACTACAATCCAAGTTGAACATAGATACATCTATTTAACTTAATCCAAAATAATTTTAAATTCATAGCAAGCAGATGAAACTTAATCAAGAAAAGTAGAAAACAGTAGGAGGATGTTCGATGACAGTAGAACTTTCTTCAGTTTGTAGATTGTTCAATGTCTTTTCACAGTTAGGGCTATTGTAAGTCAAATATTTATCTTTCTAATAACTTTACATTTAGGGTGAAGGCTAATGTGCTCAAGTTTTATGGTAGGCTTCTTATCTGATATAAATGAATATTCAAATTTCCTATAATACTTCATGTTTTAGGCTTGTTCCCCAAGATATTGTAAAACATGTTAAGATGCATAAATGTTAGGGAGAATTACACTTAGACCCCTGAGATTTGTCATTTAATCACTCAGACCCCCTGACATTTGAAATATTATACACAGACCCCCTAAGGTTTGTACACGTGTAACACATAGACCCCTGTTATAAATATATCAATTAATAAATTACACTTAGACTCCCTGAAGTTTGTAAATATATAATACTTAAACCCCTTAAGTTTAAAATTTTATACTTAGACTAAAAATACTCCAATTAAAGATAAAATATCAAATATTTTAAATTTTACAACCAAAATTCATATTTTATTGCATCATTTATTGAAATAAAATCAAAAATAAAAATTTAATTTTTTTCTTAAAAAGTCGTAATTAGTATACAATTATTAATTATATAATCCATTGAAATTTAATTTGCTCATTTAAACGATCAAATTAAAATATCAAACTAACCCAATTAAAGCTAAAAGATATTGTGTCCATTACAGTTTGACCCCTTGTTTAATTTTTTAATTTTATTCTAATAGATAGTATAATTATATACTAACTATAATTTTTTTTTTTAAAACTAGACTTTTATTTTTAATTTTATTTCAATAAATGACATAATAGAACATAAATTTTGGATGTAAAATTCATGTTCTATTATGAATGACTTAGACCTCTTATTTGGTTTATTAATTTTATTCCAAAAGATGGCATAAGCGTATACTAATTACGATTTTTTAAGAAAAAATTAAATTTTTATTTTTAATTCTATTTCAATAAATAATACAATAGATGGTTGTAAAATTTAAAATATTTTATATTTTATATTTGATTGGAGTATTTTTTGTTTAAATATAATATTTTAAACTTAAGGGTTTAAGTATTATATACATACAAACTTTAGGGGGGTCTAAGTGTAATTTATTAATGAAAATATTTACAATAGGGGTCTAAATGATACGCGCGTACAAGCTTCAGGGGGTTTATGTATAATATTTCAAATGTCATGGGCCTGAGTAATTAAGTGATAAACTTCAGAGGGTCTGGGTGTAATTCTCCGTAAATGTTAATAAGTTTTTTTGTACCGCAATGCAAGTTTCTGATTTCATTCACTTTGGAAACTAGAATATAAATTCAAAATCAAACCCAACTAAAGTTTTACTAAGATCTGATAATCCAACAGTATTTGCGTCACACACTATTGCAAGAAGTTACACTATCAAACACAGATCTTCCATTCGGCTTAGCAGTACGTTGACTTAGAAAATGCAAAGGCAAGTCTGTTTTGCATATGAGGTCAGACAGAGCTAAAATTACTAAGACTGAAAATAGACCATCGAGTATCTTCATTTCCAACGTGAAGAGGATACTCCCATAAGCATCAAAATGAAAATACTTGTGGTTAACAATTTCTAACATGTTTGAATAATTGACTTACTATTTCAGAATTAGTTATAACATGCACGGTTATGGGCTTCAACAATGGTCAAAACTCAATAGATTTTTTAGGTGTTGCTGGGTTCAACTCACAATAAAACATGAGTCACATGATAGAAAAGAAAACCAGAAAACTTGTACACAAATTTACAAAGAAATGAGAAGCTCACATGAGAAGCTGCTCAATATACATCGACCATAGGCTATACGAGATGCCTTGTTCATCACCAGTAAGAGCCTTGAAAAGGTTATGAGCCGTCGACCAATCAGCCACACCAGAAATAGCTGGAGCAATACGAACAAAGGCCTCTTCTCCAACAAGCCTCCTCTTCAAGATCAACAAGAACATTACGAATTATAACTCATAAGGCTTGATGTTATATATTAGACAATCTCAAAAGCGTAGTAAAATTTCTTGTTACCATGAAATTGCATAAAAATTAAAAAATACAAATACTAACAAGCTGTCTAGTTTGATGGAAAATTGGGTGAATGAAAAAAAGAAGGTGGAAAATGGAAAGGAAGGAAAGAATTTCCATTGTCTGGTTTGGAATAAAAAATGGGTGCAATAGAAAAATGGGGGGAAAAACATTCCACCCTGCCCACCAAGAAAATTCCAAAAACTAGAGAGAAGCTTGGAGGGGCTTGGAGAGGATAAGACAATTACTTTTATGCCCATCTTCCGAGTGTGTTCACACTGTAAAGCAATGCATTCAAAGTTATGTAGTGTTGGGACATCTGCTTCCAATTGCACACACCCTATTTTTTTTTCTTTATTATTTGCCTCAAAGTTAACATGTTATCAGCATAATGCAATTGCACTTTTTATATTATTTGTATATAAGGATTACGGACCTAACAAATATTCATCAAAGGACAATGGTGTGTATGCTAAACTTTTAATCAAATTTTAGAAAAGATCATAAACATTTTGGTAAGTGTAACATTGTTGTTCATTAAAATGGAAAAAAAAATGTAGAAACGCTTGTGGGTAAACATATAAGGGCATTATGGTAAAATTGACAGACATTTTATCCTTCCTTACCTTTTTGTTACCAAACAAAACTATGGAAAATCAATCCCTCTTGTTTTCCATCCCTCCAACCAAACAAACAAAAAAAAAGGAAAATTCTCTACGAATGGAAAGCCCATTCATCTCACTTTCTTCCCATTATTTTTCTATCCATTCTACCAAATGGACCACAAAAGTACATTAATTATGATTACTATGAAGCATATTTTTCAAAATCATACGATTCGCGATTCGATTCGTACGATTCGGTTCGATACAAATACAAAACGATTCGTATCTTACATGAGAATCGTTTTAGAGTTGAATCGCACATGAATCTTACGATTTGTACAATACGATTCAATCACTTTTTTCTAAACAGTAAAACGACATTGTTTTGTTTGCAGAGAAACCCACGCCCTAATAAAAATTCAACCTCTTTGTTCATTCTCTCTCTAACATCGTCTAAAGCTCGTCTTGCGTTGTCTAAAGCTAAAAGTCACAGTTAACGCTCTCACATTATGGGTTGATTTTTGTTCTCAATTCTTTCATAAGTTGTTTGTGAGGCTTTAATTTTTTATTTCAAAATATTGCCCTATATTTTTTTCCCAATTAATTTTCTTATTTATTCTTTTTCCTTTCATGTTTATAACCTAATTTATATTGGCTGTCACTATTTTGGTTTTTGAATAGCCATGGTTCTTTAATGAATTTTTTTTATTCAAATTGTTGAATTTGCAAATGGTTAAGCCAAAAATGAAAACGAAGCAAAAGACTAGCGTTGTTCCATTTAGACGACGTGATTATGTCAATTGATTTTAGAATGCAATAATATTCATATTCAATATTTTGTCTATTTTAAATATGTAGTATTATTTTTTATTTTTGTTCAAATTTTGTGTCGAATCTTACGATTCACAATTCGATACAATTCACGATTATCAAATTTAGGATTCCGATTCACGATACGAATCGCGATTTGACAATAATGCTATGAAGACAACGAAAGAACCATTAGTAATAACTGTGATTTGTGCTCAATGGATAAGCAGTCTTATAAAGAAGGCAGAGGAAAGGATAAGGATAATAAAGAGATCACTTTTCTCGAATGTATTTGGTTTACAAGTAATTTCTCAGGAAAGTAAGCTTTAAACTTTATTGGAATGTCAAATCTTGCATAAAATGAAAGAGAAGGTTCAAAGGAAAATGTTTTGCGCAGGAAAATAGTTAGGGTGTAAGCCACCCCCTCTGTTGACAATCAAGAACACAGGTGGGAAGCAAAAAGTCATTTTTCCCCTTTTGTTTTGTACAAATGGTTGGACTTTTGTCCACTAATATTCTACTTTCCCTCTTTAGCAATATAAGTACTTTTCATGCAGACAAATTTTGCTGTAGAAGTGTTGTTTCCTATCAGACAAAAATGCAATGGTTGCAGAATGTCTGTTCTCTCATGATCTTTGTTCTTAGAAACTGAAACCAATAATTTAAGACAGGTTTTACAAGGTAACTCTCTAAAGCCTCCGAAAGTATGTCTCACTAAATTATGAGAGAAAAATTGGAGAAATCCAAATGTTTGGCCTCCTTAGCAAAGAAACTTCGTTAGAATTTTCAGCTGGTCCTGGGGATAGAAGGCTTACTGACTGTTTTGTGGCCAACTGATCACCTTTTGCTAAAGAGGGACAAGCACTGATTCAGCAAGGAAGTATTTATAAATAGTTGCGCCCATTGCACAAAGAAAACAAAAACAAAAAGGACCTAGGAATATTATGTTACTCCTATCCAAGTTTTATCACATATATAGTTAACTATTTACTTCTATATTTTAGGACGGGTGTGATGAAAACCCCGTTATCTTCAATGCATCCCCTCAATTGTACAGAAGTAACATGTACAACCTTTTTGTTCCACAGATAATCCTGTGATTAGAGTGGTCCACTGAATCTTCAGTTAGAGAAATTTGCTTTATCTTCAATCAGTTACACGAACAGCTAAAATCAGCCCCATGAGCTACTTTAAGCATTGGATTCTATTTAATATTGTTCTTCTGGCTTTTCATTGGATTGCATCAATTAAATCCATATACTTAAAATTAGATACTTAAGCAGCTAAAGTTATACGATAACCACAAGAAAATCGTACGCTAAAAATGCTTCACACAGCTATCTAAACATGTAGAAAATCTGCAATATGAACCTGGAAAGAAGCTCTCTCTGAAGAGTTAGCTTGAGAATCCTTTCTGTTGCAGTAAGGATACTCCCATGCTAGCATGGTTAAAAAAATCAGTTTCCGAAATGCAGGCTCCTGACAACAGGTAGTCAAAATAGTAATAAATTTAACAAATCAATATTCCCAAACTTAAATTCATCCATCATCTGCATGAGAGAGAGAGAGAGGGTCCATAAAAATCCAAACTCATAAATTACTTTGGAGTTTCATTTTTGGAAAAAGCTTCATGTCACTAACTGACAGAACGTAACTAATTTAATTCAAGAATTGTTAAAAACATCAAACTAAAACTTTATACCAAGTCAACTAACCTTGAGGCAAGGGTGAACTTCAGAACTATCTCTGCACAAGAACCTAAAGCAGCAATACTCCACTAAATTACGGGCATCATTATGCAAAGATACAGGAACAAGTGCTTTGAATATCATCTGCATTCGCTGCCCAGTCAATCCATTCATCCTGCATATCTTAACCTCAAAAAGTTAAAGCCTAATATCTGCAATAGTCTTATAGGGTGGAAAGTAAGCCTCCGACAAGATCAAAACTAAAGCATGAAATGGAAGTTTATATAGTTGATCCCTTCAAGTTCTCTATTAGATGATTAAAAAAGTTATTAGGATAAATAATGTTTTACTCAATTGGAGTTTATATGTCAATGATACTTTACCTCCTTATGGTTTGAAAACTGTAGCTTCACCCCTTTACAGATGTGGACTAAAGTTGCATATTAGAATTCCCTTTAGATCGATGATCAAAGGCCAAAAGTCACAAGTTTTAACAACATAACATGTCCACATGACCTTTACGGCCTCATACATATATTTCTTCTTGTTTTCTCTTTAAGAAATATTACACTCTTTTTCTCTCTGCCCATCTACTCATTTATGTAGATTTTCCAATATATTAAAAGAAGGGTTTGAATTCTGAAAGAATGAAAGGTGGTATGGCCTTTTAGTACTCATTGCTAATTTAACCATTAGTCATTGCACTTCAGTCTTAAACTTACAGGGATGAGATGTGGGTATAGGAATCACTTGCTTAAAGCACAAGATGATAAAAAGTAACTAGTCCACAACCAAATAATATAGGAAACTGAACTAGTGTCCTGGCTTAAATTCTACACATAATACTACATAGTTATCAAGTATCCTTTTTAATACATGGGTATTAAGCCTCAAACATGCAGAGTCTGTTATCCACATTTTTTCAAACTCCCAATAGAGGAATAATATAAGAAGGCATCTGTCTACAGAATACTGCAGCAGCAAAAATTTCTCTCAAGCGACAGAATAGGTCCCAGAGTAACATGTGATCAACAAAAAATGCTTCTATGCGGAACTTTCAAACAACTGGAACTTTCCACACAATCTATGATACACTCCAGATCAAAAAAGTCTATGTAAACTGAAGTGGCAATCTATACAATAGGTAACCCCATATTTGTTCCAGTTACTTGGCTTTCGTTCGCAACAAGGTAGTTGTAGGGAGAACCTATGGACTGGATTGAATCTTGCTTTTTTTTCCGGTATGCCGCTCTGCAAGTAAGGAGAGAGAGAACCAAGTGAGTTGTGGTGAAGTCAGAACTTGCACCTATTTGTATCTATCTAGTGATCAGTCCACTAGTTTCTTTGATCCCTCACGGTGTTCCTTTTCCATTTGCTTCCAATAGTTCAACCTATCCAAAAAAATTGTCAGCCTACAAATGTGGTTTCGATCCTTCCAGTGATGCAAGCATTGCCTTTTGTGTCCTCCGAAGCATAGCATATACCACAAGTCCCTTTGATTAAGGAAGTAGCCATCACCTTTTTACTCTTTACATGAGTACATCTGTTCTTCACCTTCTCTCTGTGGAGAGAGGTTCTCATAAGGAGATCAACCTTGGGTTAATTCAAGCAATCCTCTAGGGGTCCTAACCATCTCGACTACTACTCCCCACTTCCATCCACTCTTCATAAAATCTTACTACCTCAATCTACAATTGCTGTTAAATAGAATTGAACTATTCACGATCTGAACTACCATAACTCATTAAGCAAATGTTACCAGCCTTGAGCATCAAATCCTCTCAAGCTTACTAATCAGAAAAAACCTTTACTTGTCTTGGCCTTGCAACCTTCCTGCTAAGCTTCTAAACAGGTATCTAAAATTCAGCACTATTATCTGAAGTTGTAAGCCTAGCCTCGACATATCTGAGTCCACGCCGTTTTTAGAACCCATTAATCATTTCTATGTCTGTACCTTACAGCCCACACCATCACCTTAGGACATGACACATGGAAGATTCCACCAGACAGGGTACGGAGGCAAAGGGGTTAATCAACCAGGTAAACTTTGCCAAAAACAGTGGATGGTGAATTTTGACTTCTCAAGCACACGTAAGGATTTAATTTTTCAGTTATCTATTTCATCAGAACTATTTTTCAAGCTTGTCTTCGTAACTTAATCAATGTCAACAACCCAAAATATGCTGTAATTCTTACAACTCTGCAGGCCGATATGCTGTTGCTACTATTCAAAAAATCACAGAATTTGTAAAACACAAAGTTACTTCACAAAAACTAATTTGAACAAAAAAATGTGCCAATTTAGGAACTGATATTCAACTTAGTTTTTTAATATGATATTAAGACAAAATTATGATGGCAATACAATAGCAGCATTATATTTCATTTTGAAATTCATTTTCCAAAAGCAGCAGAAATGCACCAACATAAAAACTCATGACCAGAAATGAAGCCAGCGCTATCCTTACCTGCTGAATTGCTCAATGGAAACAATAGCAGCTGAAGAAAGATCTCCACTTGGTGTTCTGCTATCAATAGTCTGTTCAGCCATGAAGATGTCTTCCATATCTTGAGTATCAAATTTATTTTCGAGAACTGGCTTTCCATCATGAACATTTTTTACCAATGGAGATCTCACTTCATTCAGAAAGTTTTGCGTCTTTGAGAGCCATAGTTTTAAGGTTTCTTGCAGTGCATCTGTCAAGGAAACATGTTTCACAGAGTTCAGAATTTAAAAACCAAAAAAGGTCAAAGTTTTGAAATTTCACAGTACGCAGAGGAAGGAAAAGAAAAAGAGCATCACGGATAATCTCACGTTCTTAGGCATACAAACCATTAAGTTCAAGTATTGGCATGTTGAACCAGACCTGAATGCAATCAATTTCATGAAACTACGAGTTCTTGAAAGCACAATCCTTCCATTCGATGGCATTCCACTCTTCTTTTCATAAAGTTTCATGTATAGAAGAAACCATAAGATAAGGACATTGCATCTTTCAAGACCTGAATCCCCAAAGCACGTGCCTCAAGGTTTGAGGGGTTCAGCGGCGTACATATTTCAAAGGTTTGATGTGTTATGTACATATTTCAAAAGTTCGATGCACTAAAAATAGGATGGGAGAACTAAAGCCCGTGTGGAATTGGTATTTGGTAATATATATCATTGCACTACATTCCTCTAGCTCAGAATTCCAATTGTGAGAATGGACTTTTCTTAGGGGCATTGCTCAGTACGATGTTAAAAACTCAACGTGTCAAGTCTCAATTGGCCAACCTTCTGCAAATAGAAGGTGCTGAATTCACACCTCACACCAATGGTAACGTCTTTATAAGAGCAGATTTCTCCATCTCTTGTTTAGGTCATTCATGTTTCCGGGGTCTGTTTTCAGGCTTGTACATGTTGTCTCCACAAGAGTTTTGTTTTTTCAATAAGCAAGGAAACTTCTATTGGAAATATAGGAAAAAGAGTACAAGAAAAACATATTACAACAAAATCAAGAACACCCTAATCCACAAAATGATCTCCAATCAGACATAACATAGAACGGAGGAAGGCTATCAAACTACTTGGTCAACGAGGCCCACAAGGATGTCAAAAAGTAAACTATGTCCCATATGCAATCATCAACGTCACACTTGCCATGAAAAACAACAGTATATCAATCCAACCAAATGACCCAAAAGATAGTCAAAACTGAACAATTCTAAAGCATGGGAGTCTTTTGTCCCTTCAAAACCCCAAAGATCCTACAAAAATAGAGATGGGCAATTCCTAGGAGTCACCCAGTTCATTCCTGTAACTGGAACAGTTTCCACCACAATCTCAAAAAAACCAAGATATAAGGAATAGACGATCAATGCTCTCCCCCTCCCTTCAACACATGGCATGCCATTGCGATATCAACAAGGATCAAGTTTTTGCGTCAATGCTTAGTTTCGGATAACTCAGAAACGGAAACATTTCAAGTGTTTCAGAAACAAAATAAAAACAGAAAACTAAAAAGTATTTCGTTTTGGTTTCCACTGAAACCGAAACGTTTTGCTCAAAACGGAATTTTGATCCTTGTATAGCAAATATGCATGAGGCTTCCTTTTCAAAAGTAGATCAATATATTAGTCCAACCATGAGCAATTGTCCATGCATGCACTTAGACCTTAATGGACATCCTAGCCTTCCGAATCATTAAAAAAAAAAAAATTGAATTAAAGGACTACAAATCAAAGACTCAAAGAAAGTTGCAAGAGAACAACCGAAATGTATCAACAACTCAGCTTTTTTTGTTAGAACAAACAGATTTAAGGAAATGTTTTAAAATAAAGAATGGAAGGAATATGATTCATGAACTTCCCAATAATTTAAGATTGATAGAAAAGCTGAAATCCCAAGTGATTGAAGAGGATAGAAACAAGATCATAAGAGCCATCGAGATATTATGTGCATCTGAGAAAACCAGTAGCAATAAGGAGAGGCCGATGAAGTCTTCAATCCAAATATACTCCCAAAATTGAACATGCTCCCCATTGCATACAATCATTTTGTTATTTCTAACAAATCAAGGAAAACCCAGAGAAATGAACCTCCATGAACATCATAATGTACATTCTTTGACAATATTAGAGGTACCATAAATGCTTTTGATGACAAAATGTCATAGTGAATTTTGTTCCATAGAAAATATCCATTACTATTCCCCAGAAGGACCACATCTCTAGTAATCAAATTCCTTGCATCGGAAAACCAAATCCCAACTGGTGATCTTTATTCCTTTGCCCGCTATCTTTCTAGAGGAATCTCTCAACATCTTTTCTATTCTATTTGCCACCTTATACAACATCTTAGAAAGAAACATATGAGAAATGGGAATGTTAGTCTTCAGGCTAAAGCCAGAAGTAAGATAAGTCTCCCGCATTCAGAAATAAAATTTTCTTCCAATCATTCAATCTCTTCCGGATTTTCTTTAAGAAATGAACTAAAAAACTCAATGCAAACGGATTATCAACCAAGGGGAACTCCAGGCACTTCAATGGCCAGATGCAAATTGAGCATCCTAAAGATTCCACAATCTTTCAACCTTATTCTAGTGGCAGTTAATACCCTCAATCATACTCTTCGTCATATTCACCCAAAGCTCCGAAATAATCCATAACACTTCTACTATCTCTTTGGGTTCACAAATTTTTGCTAATTCCTTGGCAAGAAAAAAATGGTATTATTCAACTTATAAATGAGTGACTGAAACCTTGCCTCTACCTATCTCAAAGACTCGAACCCTTCCATCAAATTGTACGTTTGTGCCTTAGCAACTAATCCATTAACCCATTTACCACTACAGTGAGAAAAAGGTGACAAGATCATTCTGCCACAAACCCTTAGAAGCCTTAAACCACTCCATGGGTCTCCACAACATTTCAGGTCGCTAACCTATCCATTAGTTAATGACAACAGATAAGTCTTTGAACCCTTCTTGCTGTATTTGATTATTGCTACTGAATTTCGTCTTGCCAGCTTTTCTGTGCCAGTAGGATTAAGTACCAAAACCTGTAAATTCCTTTCGATCCTGTTGCAGCCTTTTCTCACTATATTGGCTGGTTAACTCTTGATAGGGACCTTCCACGTATTCTGGTTGCTTTTAAGTTTGTTGTCAAATTGTGATTGAACCATTGGACGCAGATCTTTTCCGCAACTTTCCTCCTCTGACTACTTGAAGAGAAAGTATTCTCAGCAAAAAATAAGAGGAAAGACTCCATTTTGACATGGTTTAAGTCTGCTTATTGAATATATCACAATTGCAGTGGCAAGTTAATTAAAGGATCCTATAATTGCCACAAGATGAAACTACCTTTAATCTACACACACACACTCGCATAGGGAGGAATAGAGATATAGTAAATAGTCTGCAAATAATTATGGCATCAGGAAAAAGAACATCGATTTCGAACAACCAATTCGAACTGGGCAAATAAGTTTTTGGTTAAAGGCTAACAAAGAAGGCTAGCACGAGGAGAACCCAATACCCAAAATCAAAACTTAATCTCAGTAGCAGTATACCTTAAAGAAACAAGCAAACAAATTAATTGTACGAGTAATATAAAAGACTCGAATTTGAACTCACTGGCATCAATGTCGTCAAACTTCCACCTACTATCACCCAAAGACTGACCCACCAGCTTCAACCAAGACTTCTTGTCTGAAGAAGAAGGCGAAGGAGATGAAGAAGAAGAATTTCTATCACAACACACAACTTTGAAAAGAACTTGATGGGGTTGATAATGGATTCTAGAGAAGTGTGGCGGTGCTCTAAGGTGGGCTTTTAATGGGAATTTCGAGTGCATCTTTGATGTTCTTTCTGGGTTTTGATTATCAAGATTCAATCTTTAAGATCATAGTAATATTGAGATAAAGAATAATCATAGGCAGTATGAAAACAAAGCAGTACAGAGGTTGAAGATGAGTATGAAAAAGAAGATGAGTATGAAAACAAAGCAGAGTAGTGGAAGGACTTTGGGAGGAAAGACAAACAAGACAACACTTCCAGAGGGTGCATTGTGGGGTTGTGTTGAGTGGTTTTGTGAACTATTTCTATTGCGATTGTTTTATTAGTTTTTATTTTTTTTTATTTTCCTGTGGCGGAAACGTAACGGCCGACCCGTAATTGAGCTTGAGCTGATCTCAATTTGGAATTTATTGAAAGGTTAATTATATCGGAAGTTTCTAAAGTATCTAATTTATTTTATTTTGATTTTTAATATTTTAATCATATCATTTTGGTATATGAAATATAAAATATATTTATATATGATCCCTCAAATAGACAGTGTCTAGATTGTTAACATTTTTTATCGTAAACTTGTTACATGATACTTAAATATGCACAAAAAATAATTTGAATAACTTTTTACTAAATTTTTATTCAAATTTTAGTTAAATATCTACTTAAATTACACAATTTTAATCATAAGCTATTTAAATTTTAGTCAAAAACTACTTATATTACACATTTTTTTATCAAGAGTTTTCCAAATTTTGTTTAAGAGCTATTAAAATTATTTTTTATCCATATTTAGCTATTATGTGACAAATTTATGATAAAAATCATTAGCAATTTAGACATTATTTGTTTAAAGGACCGTATAAAAACATATTAAATACGTCATAGACCAAAATGATGCAATTGAAATATTAGGGACCAAAATGAGACAAACTCATACTTTAAAGAGACCTCCAGTGCAATTAATTCTTTAATTTATTGTAATTATTTTTTTTTCGAAAAGTAAATTATTGTAATTATTAATTATATTGAATTTGGATCTTTTTATATTAAATTAGAGTTTTATTTTTAATTTAATGAATTATAATTAACTAAATTCTTAAATTAGACCTCAAATTAGGTAACAAATAGCATTTCTTGAATTAGGGCATGTGTAGAAGCGACCAACAGACTTGCATCACTTTAGTATTGGATGGAGTATGGCGGCCACCCACCTTAAAAAATTTTAGACAAAAACTTTGTTAAGTGAAATTGAGTTGATCTCATAAAGATAAAATTCATATTTAATTAATAAAATTTTATGTTTAACCTTTTAATCTAGAAAGCATTTTTCTCTCACCCAAAAAAGGCCCGAGATGTGTGGATGATTATTTTATTTTTGCTCTCTTTTGTGGACTGATATTAATTATATATTTATAATTTTATAATTAATACTACTTTATTTTAAGAATAAAAAATAAGATAGTTGTCACATAAAATAAAAAAATTGTGGAATATAAAAAATATAGATGGTTAAACAAAGTGATACCAAAATTAATTTTTCTTTTTTCTAAAAAAATGTTCAGCAATTTTTTTTTTTTAAAAAGGCACCCAATTCAAAATTGGATTTAATTTTCATTTTACAACAGCTTCTTAATTTTCTTTTTCAAATATCCTTATTTTGAAATTATATTTTTTTAAAGTGTGATTTTCAAATAAAAAAATATCTATTTAATATTATAATTAAAAATTTAAATTCTCAATTTATAAAAAAGTATAATAATAATAATAATTAAGATTGATCTATTTTTTACATGTTTTGATCAAACGGTACGACATAAATAAAAAAAAAATATTATTCAAAAATATCATATTATTTGCATAGCTCTCAATGTCTCAATCCACTGTTTAACGTCTAACAGCCCTATTAAATTATACTTATCTCTTTTTTTTATATATATATTTTTATTTATTTATTCTAATTTTTAAATTATATAATTGAAAAAATTAATATTATTTTTTTATTGTATAGTGTCTTAGTACACTTGATTATTACCACATACAAAGCAGGAGTGCATCATTAGTGCCAGTGCAAGAGAGAACGTCCCTCCACTCGTACACTAATCATCACCGGCCCAACAACCTACCATTTCCATGGCCTTATCTTTTCACTTTCCTCCACCACCACCTATAACCACTACCACCACCACCACCTCCTCTCTCTCACTCCCCAAACTCCTCCACTCTCACTCCTCACTCACCACTTACTCTTTCCCTACAAAACCCACCACCCAACACACCCACAACCTCTCAAGCTGCACCTCATCAGCCACTGAGAAATGGAGAACCAAAATTTCATTCTTTCCTGCTTTTTTGAACAAACCCAAAGATGCCAAACCCATTAAAGAAGAGCTTCTTGAGGCCATTGTTCCACTTGATCGGGGTGCCGAGGCTACCCCAGAGGACCAGGAAAGAATCGATAAGGTTGGCCTTTTATTTCTCATTTATCTTAGTCTAGCTTTAGATTCTCTTCTGCATTTTGGGTTTATATATATATATATGTTATTGTTATTGTTATTGCCATTTGGTATCCCAAAAATTTCATCGTGTTGGGAACTATTTGGAACGGAGCAATGCTACGGGACTTAAAAAGTAGACTTAAAAATTAGAGTTGATAATCTCAATCGTTGATTTCATTGTGAGCCCCAACATTTATTGGGACTACGAGCTATTCGATAATTGAGATTATAAGTCTAATTTTTAAGTTTACGTTGCATTAGTTGGTTGCCGAGAAAACTTGGTGGGGGTGGGGGGGGGGAGGAAAAGTAAGTTTAAGTTGTAGTCGCATGAAATTCAATGTGAAAAGCATATATCACCCGTGCAATTTAGAGATTGAGTATGAAGTTATGGCAGATCAAAGTTAGGACGCTCTAGTTGGTTAAATTAGTTATCCAAACTTGAAATAGTACTATACATTATACATGGCCAAATTTGACTAACAGATGCAGTATAAGACATGATTAGACAAATTTTAATCCAATACAATGATTTATCTGCCCATAATACGGGAGTCAAACGAGTCCTAAAAGGTTATCATGTTGTGGAAGATGAATTACTTATAGAGGACAAAGAAACTTGGTTGGATGGTGGGATTTTGAATTCTTGAGGTTCCAGTTCAATATAAATTTGTAATCCCTGAATATGTTTAATTTTTTCCTGTATGTGTTTAGAGACATAGGTTGGTACTCACAAAGTATTAAGGCAAGATGTGACAGCCAAGATTTGGCTTTTCTGCCAATAGTTCTCTGCTTATTTGTGTGTGTGGGTAATTTATTTAATCCGGCCAACACTTCCGAGAGTCCTCTATATTGCTCTCAGCGGCCTGATGCATATGCTTTGTGGTGCAAATTTTGGATCTACGTATGTGTGATTATGTTCAAGTCCCAATGGCTACAGTGCATTATTAGTCATAATTTTTAGGGTGCTACAGCTTTCAGAGTTAGCATTTAAACCTTTGCTGATGCCTGATTTAAACCAAAACGAATAAATTCAGGCAGTTAGGAGCGCAAACAATGGCATTGTGCACTGATACATTATGTAGCCTGTTCTTTAAAGCTATATAATGTATATTGTGCTCAACTTTTATTTGCTTCTTTTTTTTTTTATTTCAACTTCCTTTGACTTTATTTTTCATTAGATTGCTCGCAAACTTGAAGCAGTCAATCCAACAAAGGAGCCGCTTAAATCTAATTTGCTAGATGGAAAATGGGAATTGATTTACACAACTTCAAGATCAATTTTACAAACCCAGGTACACTGATATTTTGTATGTATATTTTTTAAGTTTCATAGAACTTACTATACTTGTTTGAAATTTATTTCTTACAAAAATTTGGAACTGTTCATCAGGATTACATGGGTAAATTATTGAACTTCTTGGTACTTTTTCTTTCTAATCTTTGTTTAGAGGATTGTTCTGGAGATTTTCAAACTATACTTTTCTATGAATTGTCATTGATAATTGATTTGGCTTCCTTTTTCACTAATATTCAATATTTAATAACAGCTTCATTAGTAAGTTGGGGAACAGTTCAAATATTGGCTTTGCGCCTTTACCCAAAAAAACACAGATGTAAAAGCAAATGTTCAACCCATAATTAAGGGAATGCATTACACTGCTGGTGAATGCATTTTTATTTGTCGCTGGTCATTTATTGAAAGCAATTTTAAAAGAATCCAATGAGTAGTTTTTTTATCTTTATGTAAACAAAGGATGGAAAAAACCTAAACTTGGCCCTCTGTAATGGAAATCTAACAAACAATTATTTCAATTTGAAACTTACAAATGATGCCCAACCAAGAAAAATATTCATAGATAATGAAAACAGTATGTTTGACTTGCATATGTCAAGTATATAGTTAGTGTTCGTATGAAGTCAGGGTCAAACTTTTCTTTTGAGAATGATTGGGCTTTGCATTGGTAGAAATTGGTGAAACGGGGGGCACTAATTTACATCAATTTTCTATCCCGAGAGCTTTATATAAACCTACTCGATCAAAATGAAAGAAAACAAAAAGGAACTACATCAACAACTAGGGGCCAATTAAATGGCCCATCCCACTCGCTAGCACTAATAAGGTTGAAAGAGGATGTGTCGAGCAAGCAATGCAACCCCAGTTCTACTTCACTAAGCCCCAATACTTGTACAAGGAGGAAGCCATTCGCATCAACTTGAGTGAATGATTCTATCTTAGTCTACCCTAGATACGATGTTAACCGGTTTGATTATTGCTCCAAGTAAATTTGTTATCATTGAAAGCCCCAGTGGAACAATCCACATGATAAAAATCATATCCTCTAAAGCTCATCACTTCAATAAAGGCATTGAAGTCAGGAGGCCGACCCCCAAGTGTTTTTCGATGGATTGACAATTACATTGAAGTCACCCTTACTATCCACGAGTAGTTAATGCAAGTCGATATGTCCTTCAATCAACGAGTACACTATTGACTTCCCCCACTTCTCATGACAACAACAACGATCTTTGGGGCTTAGGGGAGGCCTACGATGCATGGGATCAACTTCCAGTGGGTTTTTCAAAAAATGTTTTTGATGCTTGGAAGGAATACAATACTTACCTTTATACGAACCTCACTACTATTCTTTTTCCATATATCTTTGTTGATGTTTATCAATGAAAGAGAAAAAATATATTGATTAAGTCACTATCCGATCTGTATTACAAACGAATTTATACTAGGGCAAAACATAATAATATAAATGACTAATCTACTCCTAATGCTAATATACTATATTACTCTAACATCCTCCCTCAAACTCATGATGTGATAGCATCCAACATCAAGAGCTTGCCAAGGAAAAAATGAAAGTGTGCGATAGTGTGGGATTTGGTGAAAAAATCGGCCAACTGCATAGTAGAAGGAAGATATTGGAGAGAGATCGTGCCCAGCTGAAGTTGATGGTGCACAAAGTGACAATCAATCTCTATATGTTTGTTGCGCTCATGAAACATTAAATTGTGAGCAATCTGGATAGCACTGGTATTATCACAATACACAGGAGTAGAAGTAGTCAAGGAAATGCCAAGATCAGCAAGCAATCAACGCAATCAAACAATCTCTGCTGTGGTATATGTCATAGCGCGATACTCAACTTCAGCAGAAGAGCAAGCTACAACAATTTGTTTTTTTTTTTTTGTTTTTCTAGGAAATAAGAAAATCACCAAGAAAGAGACAAAAATCAGTGGTGGATTTGCGATCTATAATCCACTAGCCCAGTCCGCATCAGAGTAAGCACAGAACTCCAGAGACGAAGAAGAAAAAAATAAACTCTAATGTAACATACCCCGTAGATATCAAAGAATCCGAAGAACAGCAGACCAATGAAGTGTGGTAGGAACAACAACAAACTGACTAATCACATGAACCACATAAGCAATATTTGGATGAGTAACAGTAAGATACACCAAACTTCTATCAATAGTACGATATAAGGTAGGATCAGGCAGGAGAGAACCATCAGAGGAAGTATAACGAACATTAAGTTCCAAGGGTGTGTCAACAGTTCAAGTATCCGATAAGCAAGCTCACTGAATAACATCTGAGGTATATTTTGACTAAGAAAGAAGATAACCCTTGGGAGAGGAAGCAACCTCAATCCCTAAGAAATATCGAAGTGGACCCAAATCTTTCATTTCAAAATAATCTTGTAACTGAGTTTTCAACAACTGAATTCCAGCATTGTCATCATCTGTAATAATCATGTCATCCACATAAAGTAATAGAAGTATAAAACCAGAAGAAATGGATCAAAGGAAGAGAGCAGAATCATGATCACTAGCACAGAAGCCTAAGTCACATATGATTGAAGAAAATTTTGCAAACCATGCCCTTGGGGCCTGTTTAAGACCATATAAAGCCTTGTGAAGTTTGCACACATGACCAGGAGTCATATAGACCTCTTCAGACAAATCACCATGAAGAAAAGTATTTTTCACATCCATTTGGGATAGGCTCCACTAACGAACAGCTGCCACAACAATTACTGTGCGAATTGTGGTCACCTTAGTCACTGGAGCAAAGGTCTCATTATAGTCAATCTCATACTCTTAAGCAAAACCCTTGGCCACTAATCTAGCCTTGTACCTTTCCACAGAACCATCAAATTGAGTTTTAATTTTATAAATCCACTTACAACCAATAGGGCCTTTACCAGGAGGTAAAGGCACCAACTCCTAAGCTAGGTCTTATGTATGTAGCGCAGAAAGCTCCTCATCCATAGTCTGTTGCCAAAGAGGATCAAGTATAGCCTCCTTATAGGAGGTTGGTTCTGACAAAGAATGTATAGAAGTTAGGAAAGAACAAAAAGCAGAAGAATAACAAGAGTTGGACCAACCAAACTTATTAGGACACTTCCGAGTGCCCTGAGGGTAACGGGGAGTGTAATCCACGGTGTCAAAAATTGATTGGGAGCCAAGAGGTGCAGATGAAAGCATAACATTTGTGGAGGAGACAGTGGGAGTTCTACGAATATAAGTATGCACAATCGGGGGATGGGTAATAGACAAATCAGACGAAGAGGAAAAAGAAGAAGACGACGAAGGAAGATCAGCCACAGTTATATCACCAATATTGGAATTAGGAGAAACATTAGAGGAAAAGGAATCAAGATAGATAAGATCAAATTTGAGATGAAAAACTAGATGGAATAGAAAAAAAAAAGAATATGCTCCATAAAAACATGGCGAGAAACATAGAATTTTATGTACTAGGATCATAACACCGAAATTTCTTTTGTCCCTCACCGTAACAAAGAAAAACACATAAGGCTGAACGAGCCGAGAGTTTGGTATGATTAACACTAGTTAGCAGAATAAAACATGTACATCCAAACATACGTAAGGAGAAATAGTCAGGTGTCTTACCACATAGTTTTTTCAAATGTGAGACACTAGAATTAAGGATTGTAGGAATATAGTAGACATCAAGAAGTGTAAACTGGGAAGACACCATAGTTTCAACACCAGCCAAAGACATTTGGGTGCCATTGGCTGGAAGGACAGATATAGAGAGAGGGGAAACAATAAAAATAAATAAGAAAAAATTACTAGTCATATGATAGGTGGTTCCTGAGTCAAAGACCTTGGCAGTTCGAGAGATACCTGAAGGTTCAGTAGTAAATGAACCTATGAAAAAAGAAATTGATAGGGCACCTAGTTGATGAAGGGAAAGAAGCTTCTACAACTGATCAGCTATCATAGTCATGCTGGGAGCTGATGGGAGTGTCTCATCCGCTGGTAAAGCAGTTGTGGTTGTATGACGATCTTTGGGCCTAAATGGTTGTTGTAAGACCCCTTTGGCATTCTTGTTCACTAATTTAGGACATTGAGCCTTCCAGTGATCCTTCTTAAGACAAAAACTACATTCATCTGAAATAATTCGATCTCGATACTTAGTCTGTGAATGAGGAGTCCCTCTGGGTGGTACAGCTAGTACATTCTGATTAGGTAATGGAAGAAGACCCTTTTCAGAAAGAGTCTTAAGACAGACTTTTTCAGTCAGAAGCTCATTCACTACTGCATCGACTGTGGGAAGTGGGAGACAATGGAGAATAGAACCACGAAGGCCCTCAAAGTCATCTCTAAGGGCCATCAAAAACTGTATGAACCGTTGCTCTTCCCTAAAAGTACGATATACCATAGGAGTACTCAATTCAATTGGCTCAGCAAGTGCTAACTGATCCCAAAATTCAGTCATAACCGAGTAGCACTTTTGTATGGTCTTATCATTCTGACATGCAGTTCGAATTTCATGCACAAGCTAATATCTCTTTGTAAAATTGGACTGAACAAACAATATAGCTAAATAATCTCAAATCTGTTTGGCTATGTTAAACTTAGTCAAATGCACACCAATGGTTTGATCAATTGAGTTGTTAATCCAAGTAATACTTTTAGCATTGTTGACTTCCCAGGTATTCTTTAATTCAGCATATTTCTCTGTCTTCGAATCTGTTGGAGCTTGCAAAGCACCACTAACATAACTCCACATCCTTTTTCACCAATATACATAATTTTCACCATTTAATCTGACACTAATAGCTTGAAGAGAATCAGAATGTCCACTTGTCATAATGTTAATAAGAGGTCTCAGCAAAATAATACCCAAAATAAAGCAGAAAACAACAAGAAAACAACAATAAACTCAGCAACAGAAATCAAGCAACACCAGCCGACCACAAGAAACAAAAATCCATAAGAAATAGAAGCAAGAACCGATGCACAATAGCAATCCACAAGAATAGCAATCACCGATGTACAGTAGAAGCATGAAACGTCAGTGCTGTTTGTCGTCGGGTTTCACCAGGTCTTCACGTTGTCGGGTTCATCAGGTTGTCTTCACGTCGTTGGGTTCATCGGGTCTTCTCTTCTTCTAGAATTTAATCATGAATTATTATTTGAGTTTAGGGATTAAGGCTCTGATACCATGTTAATGTTTATCAATGAAAGATGAAAAATATATTGATTAAGTCACTACCAAATCTGTATTACAAACGAATTTATACTATGGCAAAACATAGTAATTTAAATGACTAATCTACCCCTAATGCTAATATACTAGATTACTCTAACAATCTTGTCTCCGGTTGGGTTGTGAACATGCCACTATTATTGAAATCATAAACCATTCTATGAGGCAAAAATGCTTCGATATCATGGAGAAAATGCAGTTATCATGTGCATCAAGTACATCTATGATTTTGGTTGTATTAGAGTTCACTGTCAAAACCCTAAAATCTACTGTAACCACTGATGACCAAAATTACATCTATGATTTTGGTTGTATTAGAGTTCACTGTCAAAACCCTAAAATCTACTGTAACCACTGATGACCAAAATTTGTTCACATTTTTTAGGTCAACAGTATGATGGGGACATTGAGATGGCATGTTGCACTTTCCTAGTTATGGCTTGGTTAGCAGCTTTTTTTATTTCCTGGTCTCTCTTCCCACCTTATAGTAAGAGTTACAGTTATGATGCACTAGCATTGGCCCTCTACTGAAAGTTATTTTATTTAGATGTTCTAAGTATTTTGAGGTTTTAATGTGCTAAGTCATCATAAAATCTTATGTATATCTAGATATTCACCGAGAAAAAAAGTGACTTCAGTTATAGTTTAATGTTTCAATTTGTTTGTACTTTTTTTGACATTAATAGTGAGTTTATTAAATGCTCCTTTTTCCTATGTTGTTAATTCAATTTATTTCCAATAATAGTTTCATTTGAGACGTTTCTGATATTTACTTGCATAATTGAATACCATGCATAGAGGCCCAAATTCTTAAGGTCAAGGGTAAACTATCAAGCAATCAACGTGGATACACTTAGGGCTCAAAATATGGAATCATGGCCATTCTTCAATCAGGTAATTTGATTAATTCTTGTGTTTTCTTCGTTGGTTTTTCTCTAAAACTCATTCACTGCAATTACCCAACACCTCTTCCCACACTCTGTGTCCTACCAAACTTCTTTGTTTTCTTACTTTCTAGAAGTATCAACTCATTGTTACGTTTACTTTCAGTAAAACAACTTATAGGCACTTTCATGAAAACATATTGTAATTTGTACATGTGAATTTCAAAGACTTGTGCGTTCATCATGCAAAAATTTGAGACTATCACCAAGCACTGATTATGATTAACGAGTACTCTGGTCCATTGTCCAAAATGATACTTCCTCATCAATAACTACCCTACAAAAGACATACATGGCTGAGCAATTGTGTCGCCAAGACTTTTTCTTTGGTATACATCATTTTCTTTCATTCTAAGCTGCTAGTTTTATTTAGGGTTAATCTCATTTTGCACCCTAAAAGATTGTTTAAATCTCAATTTATACCCCCAAAGATCAAAAATCTCAATTTGCACTCTTAAAGATAGAAATTTGTATCAATGTGCATCCCCAAAGATAAAAAATTTCAATTTGCACCCTCAAAAATATAAATTTGTATCAATGTGCACCTAAAATTAAATTGATAAATTATACCTAGATCCCCTCATGTTTGTCACTTAATCATTTGAACTCCTTCACATTTAGAATATTCCTCTTACATCTCATAACGTTTGTGCAGGTGTAACACATAACCACTTTTCGTTGATAACTGTTAATATAATCGTTAAAAAATATGATTTTATTCTGATAAAAAATTATAATTTCATATTACTTTTTATTTTGTGGATTCGATATACTCTAAAGTTGAAAATCAAGCTTACCATTTGAATGTCTAATAAAATGTAGATATTTATATAAAAGGTAATATGAAAAACATTATATAAATATTTATATTTTATTAGACATTCAAATGGTAAACTAGATTTTGAACTTTAGAATATATTGAACCTATAAAATAAAGGGTAATATGAAATTATAATTTTTTATTATAATAAAATTATATTTTTTAACGGTTATATTAATAGATATCAATGAAAATGGGTTACGTGTTATACGTGCACAAATGTCATAAAATATAGGAGTAATATTCTAAATGTGAAGACGTCTAAATGATTAAGTGACAAGTATGAGAGGATTTAGGTCTAATTTATCAATTTAGTTTTAGGTGCACATTGATACAAATTTCTATCTTTGAGGGTGCAAATTGAGATTTTTTATCTTTGGGGTGCACATTGATATAAATTTCTATCTTTGAGGGTGCAAATTGAGATTTTTGATCTTTGGGGGTGCACATTGATACAAATTTCTATCTTTGAGGGTGTAAATTGAGATTTTTGATCTTTGAGGGTGCAAATTGAGATTCGAACAATCTTTCGGGGTGCAAAATAAGATTAACCCTTTTATTTACCTAGATAAAAAATGAAAGCTTTTTTTCTGCTGTATATGAGTGCCCTTTTTTTTTTTTTTTTTTGATTTTGCAGATTTTTAAACCATCAACTTTTTACTGAGAATTATATTTTGAGTTTGTTTAGCATGATAGAGAGAATGGTGTGTTGGAGGTTTTCATTGCTTTTTCTCAGTTGATTGCATGCTGTGCTTGTGGGCAATGCCATATCACCCATCAATGGTTTAAACTGCCAGCCTGTTATGAGCCAATATGGCCCATTGTTTTATTCCAACATGTTTTTAGATCCTCCATTATTTTGGGGAGTATTAATGATTGAGGATGGGATATTGGCCGGCTGTGAAAATGCTAATCATAAGTTTCTAGCTCCCCAAAATTGTTAAGTAGGTAATGGGCATTTGTTTATCCATCCACAAGCACCTTTTGTTTTATAGGATGTTTAAGTCTTCAAACCTGATGTTTTCTTATGCATTACTGTCCTTTTCACTTCAATTTTCTGTAGGTGACAGCAGATTTAACACCTCTGAATGCAAGAAAGGTGGCTGTAAAATTTGATGTTTTCAAAATTTTTGGTCTGGTGAGTGGTTTTGGTGTTCTAAGTATTTTTATGCGGGTTATACATATACATTTGTAGTATTTTGTTAGATCCTAAAAAATTCATATGGTTTTGAAAAGGAAAAGAAAACAAGAGCTCCTTGTGGTGATAGTACAAAATACATATTAAAAATCATTCGAAGGATATGCAGATGACAATATTGAATCTAATCCATCATAACATAATGGCTCTTTTATTTTTTTATAGATTCCTGTTAAAGCTCCTGGAAGGGCTCGAGGTGAGTTGGATATTACTTATTTGGACGAGGAATTGAGGTGAGTTAATTGGCTGGACTCTAGAGTTACTGTTATATAAACATGAAAGTATTTACAAATCCAAGTTTTTTTCTATATTCATATTTTTCTTCAAAGAAAATCTGAGTTATTATTGACTGCTGGATCTGGCTTTCAATTTAATCAAATACTGTTCTAAACAACAAAATATAGTTTAATTTTCTGTTGAAAGTAGGCTTATACGTCCTTAGAAGAGGTGTTTTTTTGGTTGTTTTCAACATAGGTTTAGTTGAGCAAAATGCTTCGGAGTACTTCTACGTTTGTCATTGAAACCAACCTTATATTTTTCTTCTTTTACTCCCTGTGTTTGCTTTAGGCATTAGGAAAGAGGATTGGAAAAAATAGTGCTTGGGCCCTCCTTATCCCATTTATTCCCATGTTTTGTTAGATATTTTGGGCCCGGTATTTTCACCTATAAATAATCCAAGCTCGGATTAATAGTGCATTTATACCCATGAAAGAACCCACCTATTTTGTGGGTTGAAATAATGAGATTGGGGAGTATTTGTACAAAATACATTTTTATCCTTGGCAAACCCTGATATAAATACCAAACATGGGTATAGATTGGATTAAGTTGGGGTTCTTGGTAATTTTAATAGTTATACTATCATTTAATACTCCATTCAAATAAAGTGTTGTAAGGGATAAGGGTGGGCCTACAACTTTTTAATACTTGAACCAAACAAAAGATAAGAGACATGATTTTAGATTTGCATTATTTTCTCCAGATGGATGGGTATGGGATTGACAGGTTTATTCAATCCGGTCCTTCCTAATGCCTAAACTAGACACAACTTTAACCTTTTTGTCACAAACAACTGTGGGACAAGCATAATAAACAAACTAGAAAACTTTTCTTACTTGATGAGTCTTTGTGTCAGTTTTGATAAAATTGAAGAGCAAATTAAAGTCTTAGTACATTAAACAAATTGTGAGTAATCCTAAATCATATTTGATATTATGTTTAGATCGCATCAGAGAATTTCTTGTAAGCTAAAAGTTATACCATAACTGTATCATTTGTTAGCAGATATTCACTTTTTGTCTTTCTTTGTCCCCATTGCTCCTTTGCAGAGCATCAAGAGGTGACAAAGGGAACTTGTTCATTTTGAAAATGGTTGATCCCTCTTACAGAGTCCCCGTTTGAATGTATGAATGACCTCAAAGCACCATTTGTCCGGCTGATGAGATGAGAGGATCGACTTCCAAACTTTTCTTGGCACATTTGCACACTCCTATCTGCAATGGTAATTATAGAAGGTTCATAAATATAGTTGTCGTTTACTTGTATACCATTTTAAGAGATTTTCTTTGCATGTCAATAGCTATTTGAAGCCAGCCCACACGGCCATATACACAACTCTTTAATTACATATTAGTAAAGTATCAAGTTTTATAGAAGTCATGATGGGAAGGATTAAAAGCATATATTTTCTTCATTCTGTATGTTTGATGTTGCACTGAAAAGATGAATAAATTGTAACTTTGAACTGTGAATTGACTGTGGAAACAGATTCCCTCCTGGCCTTATCATTAATGATCAATTTTTATGTTGGCATTTTACTATTGATAATCATATTTGAGTATTCAGAGCTATGAGAGCATTGAGTTATGCCCTGTGCCTTGCAATTTGCATGAAATTTTTAGCTAAGAATGGCGTTGTTGTCGCACCATGCTGTAATGCAACACCAAGGTGACATGCACCCCTACCCACCCCCAAACAAGTAGCCACCCATTATGGAGGGCTCTCTAACTCAAAAATTAACTCGATTCCAAGTAGGTCAATGCCCTCATATATGGTAAGAACATATATGTAACTTATCTTTTCATTGAAGACCAAAAATTTATATCATTTTCCATTTTGGGTACAGTTTTTTTTTTTTTTTTTGTAATCAGCTTCTCCATATACTCTTTACCCTCCTGTAATTTGTGTCACCAAGTCAAATTCAATGGCCTTGTTGAACAGTTGCAATCAAATTAAAGGTGGGGCAAAGCTTTAACTTTGACTAGTAAGACAAATCTAGTTCACTTGGATGTAAGGTGATATATGAATTTTGTTATGCTTTTAGATTTTTATTTTATTGAATTCATATTTAGATCTGAATCATTATTTTACTAAAAAATTCAAAAGTGAAATAATTTTGATGTTAGGATGAAAGAGATTTCTTTTGTTGCCCTAATCCAAGTTGGAACAATGGAGTATTGCTGTGGAGGTGGTTGATTTTGTACTTGAGATTGCTAGTAGGTTTTGAGGTGAAATTAAAAAGGAAGTACTGAATAATTTAGTAGAATTGAGATGATTACACTATAGATGGTCCAATTTTGAAGGCAAGAAACACAAATAATTGTTTAACAGCGGAATTATAGATACAAGATTATCATAATTTGTATCATTCATAGGCTAAGCCTGTCACTTTTTTCTTCATTTTAGCAAGAAATTTTATTTTTTAATGCGTCTTGAATATTATTACTTTTTAATAACATAACATATTTATTTTAATATTATTTCTATTGCACATTGGCTTTAATTTAACTCTCTTTCTTATTGTAATGAGCACCGCCCAAGTCCCATAAGACAACTCCATATTTAAACCCACTACCAGACTCTCTGACGTTGGGCCTGAAACCCCTTATGAGCTTTCTATGAAAAAGCACTTAATGAGAATTATGTGACTAATACAGCACCCACTAAACTTGAACTTGATTTGGTGGGGTGCACCAGGCCATGGCAGCAGTGTAACGCCAAGGCGATGCTCGAGGAGTCCCAGCAGCAAGCTACAGTATTGGACCCCTCCCCCTAAAAAAAATTTAATTTAATATCATGTGACCCATTGGATCACGTATCAGATATTAAACTGATAAGAACAGATACTACACTTGATCTTAGCCAAAAGGCCGAGAAAGGTATGAATTTTCTTTACGTTGGGCCTCCTATTTTATACACTCTGTCGCTCGTGACTTTCTGTTTAGTAGCCGATGTGGGATTCGCAAAAGCAAAGAACCGCCTTTACCATATCCCTCTAGCGTCCAAGTCTTTCTTTTATTTTTTTTGGTTTTTAGACCATTTGGCCTTAAATCTCTTCCATTTTTCTGGGAATTTTTTCCTAGAATAAGAGTGTGCAAGGATCAAAGGATTAACTACCATTACAACACATGGAGTTAGTGATCTCTGTGTATCACCTGATCGATAAAAAAAAATTATTTTGGAGTCAAAATAAATAGGCATTGTAATAACATGAGACGACCCACCCTTAATTAAATAAAAGGCATGTTTTTATTTCAAAACCTGAGAACACTCACGCAAAAGTTGCCTATAAATTGAGCCCCTTTGTAAGATGTTAGCTTAATGAAACAATAACAAAAAACCAATGACATATTTTCAACAAATTAAAAAAACGATATAAAATGTCGCATTTTGACAAGTGACACAGAAACCATCAATTTGGCATAAGTTCAAAAAGGAGTGGGCAGTCGGCACTCAGAACGAATCTTTCTCGTATTGATCAACAAGAGGCACATTAGCTTGACCCTAAACCTAGGGTTCCCGTAAACCCCATTATTTCCGGGACTTTAAATTTGTAATAAAAATGTGTATTAGAAAGTGAAATTTAGGCCATCCAACCCCTTCTTCCTTTTATTGACATTAATGCGTTTACTTACATTTAAACCACAAGTTAATGGTTTTAACCCAATCCATTTTGATCCAATTTATTATATCCCATTTTTCAAGTGGGTTAAAAATGAACTCAAGCGGGTTGAAAATGAGTTCGACTTGATTTACACCCAATTAGATCTTGACCAGCCCAAGCCTCTTCTTTGCCATTGCTGCTCTCACCCTATGCACAAAAATGAATGATATACAACCTCTATATAAAGGTGTTAGTGGTGAAAGAATAAGAAGTGGACGACAGAAATTTAACTAAAACTAAACTTGATATAAATATAATTTGTTTATTTAAGTACATTTTCGTAGGTTACAACGTATAAGAATGTATTGGATCAAAAAAAAATACGTATAAGAATGTATTCTTATACAATACGTATAAGAATGTATTGTATTCCTTCACTATTCTTCAAAATCATTTTCTGCAAGTCTGACCAGCATGGCTTTTAGACAAGCTGTCCTACAGTTGTTCTCTCCGACCGCAAGGGTGGCCAATGGCTGGAGCTTGAGGCCAATACATAGGTGGTGAGAAATCACCACACCATTTCATCTATCTACAATGCTGAACTGGATCATATTAACCTTTTCAATGAACTAGTGTGCCACTCCATTTTCCATGCAGGGGCTTTCGTCTCGAACTAATTCATCGACGGGGTTCTCCTGAGCCCACGCGGCTGCATCTAAGTATCCTAGCTTAAAGAGCTTATCAAGAATATAATCGTCTGCTGGCTCAAGTGCCCAATTAAAAAGCTGGAACATTGAAACAGAAAGCTCTTAATTGGTTTATTCACAGAGAAAAAATACCATTCACTTGTCAGGTTATAAGATTACCTCTCGAGGACTTGCCCTATTTTCTGGGTTCAAGTCGGGACTTATCCCAATCTCCTGGAATCCCAACAGACTGGCTGGAAAAGCACAGACACGAACCTGCAAAGCAGCAACATCAAATAGTAATATACTGCCTCAGATCATGCAGACTTGAAAAAACTGAATTTTGATAAGCAAAAAAAAATTACTTTTTACCATGCGAGCCAATCTAAAATAAGACAACAGAAACCACGCCAATTGTAACTTTACACATGAACATGAATACACAATAATATGGGATACAGAAGCAGGCAATACAACCTCAAAAGTCAAAAGATATGAGAAAGGTGACCTAGGGGTTAGTATAGGGACCATCAAAACCTAATATTCCAAGTGAAACCTCCAGATTATGCCTCGAGTTTCACAAAAATTTCAAAGAGATCTCCCCGACATTTTAGAAGGCAAAAAGAAATCAAACTGAAATTTACAGCAAGAGAGTTTTGCATAATAACAGTACTAGAGCCTGAAAAAGTTGAGAGAAGCCAGGAAATTTATTGTCTAACAAAGCCTGCTACAGTTTCAATTACACCAGGAACAACTGAAAAATTTCCTCGCCGCCCATTTATTGTCTAATCAGATAAAAATGCACGTCCAAAAGAATGTAATTTGACTTGAATTCTAACCTTACAAAACTATGCCAATGCATGGATTGTGTAAAAGAAAACCTACTACTTGTAGGGCAACCTAGCAACTCAAACAGGAAGTAATGCAGTGTAAAACTACACACTACACAACAAATCATTTCAAGCAAATACCGTTTGAGCAGCAGATGTTGGAGGCATAAACAATGTCAAACCCCCATCAATACAAAGTCGATTTCGAAACATTGTTGCTGGCCTTGGTGCAAGATATCTGCATTGAATCAAACATTAGTTCAACTTCATTGCACAAACAAATCAAGCAGCAAGTAAATAAGTTGAGTATTAAATCTGAACCCAGGAATGAAGGAAGAAGTAAAGACTGCATTGATGAGATCTTCTTTTGAATCAAACTGGTCAACCAATAAGCCTCTAGGCCTCCAAAGTATCTGTGTTACAGCAACTGCGAAAAAAAAACAATATTAACTATCAGTATCACAGTTCCATATTTATACCATGCATATAGTCGCATCAAACAGAATCATGAAGTGCGGCAAGTTAAAAAAACTAATAACAACGAATTTGAAAGCATTCAAAAGTGGGGGTCAGCAAGAACTTTGTAACTATCAAACAATTATAGACCCAAGGCTCTAATCATCACAATGTATGATAAAAATGATGCATAATAGATGCACTAATACAAATCTATAGTAAGCAGGAGGATATAAATGAAAAGGTGCTAAGAATGGGGAAACTGCATCACTTAACCAAGATTGCAAATTGGCCCAAGGCATCCTTAATTATCATCAGTCAGAGTCTGACCAAAAGGAAAGTGTTGGGATTACTCAAAAACCATAACCACCATACAATAAAAGGCATAGGATAGACACCTAGCTTGAGATCTGGATATTATACAAAACTCCATCTAAATATTACTGCAATTTAATTGACAGCCTCCCTTCGATGATAATGTGAGAAACTAGTTATATTATCTATTTTATCTCCGATCATATGCCCTTATTGACATTTTATCCCTGATCAGGGTGAACACGCCCCTTCTTGGTAAGACCCAAAGCAAAGGACAAACACTTGAGCTTTAAAGTATGGTTTTGACATCCTTCTTAAGCACTAACACTATGTTTGGTACGTGAAAATGCTTTTACATAAGAATGGAACGAAGGTGGGAATGAAATGAAATGTACATTACCATTCAATGTTTCATAACAACTAGGATCAAGTGTTGGAATAAAATTGAAAATCCACCCAAATATTTGGATAATCCCTATACGCGGACCGGACCTGACTCCGGACTTTGATCTAATCTCGGGCCAATGACTCAAACCCTAGACCCAAGACCAGACCAGACCCCAAACCCAACCCCAAACTTGGACCTGACCTCGGGTGGAGGTGTAGTGATAGTGGTCATGGTGGCAACGAGTGAAGATAGTTGGGAATAGGAAATACCGCCAAATATTCAGGAATGAGAAATTCTACATTGGTGGGATTTGACATTTCATGGTAATAGAATGAATTTTCATTACTACATACCAAACATTGGAATGAAACGCAGAGTAAAGGTTTTATCTTATCTTAAAAATCGAAGTATCTAAAATTTAGCTCAAGAGAGAAAGTTAACAACAAACCGAGGAAGTCATATTCCAAAAAGCTTTTGTTACCTATATGTGCAGTCACAACCATAATTTGCCATCAAACATGCCATGCACCAGAGGAACAGAACATGATCAAATTAGGTAAATTTTTCCTTTTTTGTTACAAAAAAAAAAGTCAAAAAAACTCTTGCTGTTATACTATCTCCCCTAGATATATCCTCAAGCTCATTGAGCTCTAGCGCTCTGATCACCAATATTGGTAGGGATATCTCACAACTAAGCAATTCATAGAACAGACACGGCGTAACAGCAGGGAGAAAAATCATACTCACTACGAACCCTCCCATTGGACCTCGTATGAACATCATCTGGTAGAAACTTGTCAAGAACATCTCTGAGAACAGCCTGAACATAGAAACAATGGAAATATTAAATACTTGAATCTCTATCTAAAAGGAAATAATGATATTCTATATTCATTGCTTTTTCTCGACAATCAATACAATGTCTCCAGTCCTATCATGCCTGATCAAAACTTCAAAAAGCAAATAATCAAGCAAAACCTGACTTTGTGCATTACCTGATAATGCTTTTTATTTTCTTAGAAATACATCGAACTAGGTGACCACCAAGAAACAACATCCGGTGTTTTTTTTTTGAGAGGAAAAGAAACAACATCAAGTCTCTGTGTTCACATTTACAACTGAAACCAAGCTGACCAAACACCAATTTCATACTGTAAGACTTTAACTGGCCACTGCATAATGGGTTCGCAAAGAACCCAGAAAATTGTACTTGCCTACACAAGCATAATATTGTCAATAATCTATTATAGCATAACATTGTTTCATGGCTTCAGCAGATTAGCTTGACATGCGTTAAACCAGGACCACAATTCTTACAATCTACTAATATTTTCTTATAACTGCAGAACTTAGAACGGTAAGGGTATCAATCTCCCTGTCCAATAAAAGAAACCCATCAGTTCTCCAGTTCTTGTAACAAATAGAAGCTCTCCTGATGACCAATCCTGCAATCCATGCTTTTGTCTAAGGCTAACATTCTAATTCCAAGAAACTGACACAAAAAGCCTAAAGCTTGCAGAGTGATTGTACTTTTCAAAGGACAGTACAAATCAAACACCTTCCTTCAAAGGCTGGCATATCTTGTAGGTAGGATTCATATTATTCTATTTGAGACTGCTTCAGTGATCTGGTGCATTGTTCTTAGCTATTAATGTAGGCCAGAATGATAAGATAGAAAGAACTGGAGAGAGAGAAAAAGAGGGCAGAAGAACGGGGACGAAGAAAACTGGAAGAGAGAGAGAGAGACGCTTTTTCCAATGTTGTGTCCACTGTTCAGTAGCTAAAATTGAAATCCAATACAATATGTCTGGTATCTGTAAGCAGCCCAGATTAAAAAAAATAGAAATACTGATCAAATTATTACAGTTAGTAAATCCAGGAAGCTCCACCGAAAGAAGAAGAGGAAATAAGACTCGAGTTTTTGAAATGTTCCAAGAGAGAGTTCCATAGGAAGAGGAAAATGAAGAAAACGAGAGAAAAGAGAAAGCAAAGAAGAAGATTCAAGGATTATCCACAACCTGCCTCCGCCGCTATCGCACGAACCAAACCATTTATGATGGTCGTAAAACTAAATCCTAAATTCAATTATTCACTATGAAGTCTCATCGAATCCCTTTTGATTCTCATTCTACCTTACATTGCCCCTTTTCAACAGAAACACATATTTTTATCCTGAATTCATCAATTATATCATCGCAGCACCACCAATCTAGACACATACCCCAAGGCGAAATGCAGTCCCTTTAAGCCGACAATTTTCAGCCAAGATTTTGGTGGCCTGTAAGGCCTCTTGCATACTGGCTCCAGATGCAATCACTGCACACACAATAGCACCAGCTGATGAACCAGCCAATGGTGTGGTCTCCTGTGTAAGGAACATAAAGCCCAGTTATGACTAGAATAAAGTGTGGTTAAAGATTAAATTTAGGTTCCAAGTGGGAACAATGAACAATATAATGAGATGCAAAAGAAGAATTGTGTTCCAGTTCCTAGTTGTGAAATAAGCAATGTAATGACATGTAAAAGAGGAATTACACACACACACATACACCTGTAGGAGACGGGGTGGGGAGGGAGAGGAAGCGGAAATTTAACCAGTCACAAGAACTATGATAAGCATGGTATATTGCATGCGGAGGGCAATAAAAGCCCATTAAGATGTTCTCGGAAATCCATGCCGCGATAGAACAATGCAAAGCACTGTTGTTGAGAAGTACGGGAGCAAAAGAGAGTGGAGAGCACATAAGTGTTTCATCAATAGAAACTTGAGTACAAAGTACAAACTTTGAACTCAAAGCTTCATGGATACCCAGTTTTGATCCTCATTATACTTGTCTCAAGCTATATCAGGTAAAGTCAATTACAACATTCATGGAGAAAGAGCAATGATTCCAAAACAGCATAGCATACAACAATAAAACCCTTGATCACATCCACTCACTGGAATACATCTAGAAAACGAAAAAAAAAATTGTGAAGGACATAATGAGTTTTAGTCGTTCCTAATACCAAAAAACTGAAGATCAAGAACTAATCCCCACCCCTCGCCCAACTAAAAAGAGACACACGAGACTTGTCATTCGATTGCCCACAAATAAAACCTCTTCAAGGGGAGAGAAACCCAGTTCTAACTACAATTTGCACAAAAAAATTGAATTCCACATTCACATAAAACTAGCTAATAAACTATTACATAGACGAAAACAAAGCATAAGCCAGATACAGAACACCCATCAGCCCATACATTCCAATGTAAACACCCAAAAATTTAGTTTAAGCAAGAAATAAGAAGAATTCATAAACTCAAAACCTTTATATAACCCTTCTCGATAAGAAACTGAGCAACCCCGAGATGGTAAGGAAACAAAAGCCCAGCAGCAGAAAAACTAAACCCAGGGCTTGACACCACCTTGCGACCCCTCTCCGCCTCCACATCCTTCAAACTCTGCTCCCAAACCACCTCCGGCTGAACCGGGTCCTCCAACACCGTCGCTATCCCCTCTTTCCTTCTCTTCCAAAACCACGAAAATTCTCTCTCCCTCTCCTTTTCCCTCTCCAAATCATCCTTAAACATTGTAACCGAACCATTCGCCGATTCTTCTCCGCGCTTCTTAATTATCCGCGACGCTATTCCGAGAAAAAGCTCACCGGTGGCCACCGCAAACGACTTCTTTTCCGGTGGTGGGTCAGTGGTGAGTTTCGGGTCCTGTGACGAGGCTTTGGCGAGAAAATTGAGGGTTCGAATTGGGAGGTGGGTATTGGGATTAGGGTTTGGATTAGGGGAGCGGAGAGAACGAGGATTGGAGAGGAATGAAGAGGAGAGAGAGGCCATGAGAGAGGGAGAGGAAGAGAGTAGTTGGCTTGGCCTTGTTTTGGGGCACTTTTTGAATTGCCACTGTGGAAACATTTTCTTTGTATTTTCAACCTGTACTGTACTCACGTATTGTTTATGTTTTTCCTAGTATTTGTATGTATGCGAAAGATTTGAGGTTTCCCGGGGAAGAAAGNCAACCTGTACTGTACTCACGTATTGTTTATGTTTTTCCTAGTATTTGTATGTATGCGAAAGATTTGAGGTTTCCCGGGGAAGAAAGCGGAGAGAAAGAGAAAAGGCCTCGTTAGTTTCATGTTTTTTTTTCGGTGTATGTGTGTGTTTATGTTAATAAAAAATTATTTAATTTTGTAATAATTAATAGTTCATATAATATTATTTAAAAAATTATAAAATATCTATTTTTTTGTTTACAATTATAGTGTTATTTGTGTCTAATCTTTAATTTAACTTATTTATTATTTGTGTCAAGTATTTGTATCATTTTTTAGTTTGGTGTCGCATTCCTGTTAATAGATAAAAGTGAAACCCTTAAGAGACAAGATGGTAGTTTGTGTTTTGTTGAGTTTTTGACACTTCTATTAGTTTTCGTTATTTTTTTTTGTCAACATCAATAAGGTGAATTTTGACAAAATGGGTAACAGAAAAATCATATTATAATAGTCTGTGTTTGTAGTATAGATGAAAAAATTGAAGGATGAAAAGTGAGAGTAATACACTTTCTATCTTTTAAGAGAGAAACCTTTACTTTCTTTCTTTGTATTTTGTAAGAATGATGAAAAATAAAAAAAAGATTGATTTTTTTGTGTTTGATAAGATAAAAAAATATTCTAAAATTTTTATTTTTTTATTGAAAAAATAATAAATATATATTTTACTATTATATTTATATATGAAATTAATGTATGCATAATATGTAATCGATAAATATGATACATGTATATATTTTTTGATATATATGGACAAATAACATAGATTTTAAAACTAATGTCAACTTGAATCTTGAAAGATCACTCAAATCTCAATTTGTATACTCGAAGTTTAAAAATATCAATTTACACATTGTAATATGTAAATTTGCATCAATGTGCACCGGGGGTTAACTGTCAATCTGCCATCCATTTTGCCGCTAAAAATGTTTAGAATAATTATAAATTGCACCTTCAAAGTTTAAATATTTCACATTTATCATTAAAAAAGAATTACATCCATTAATACTTGTTAAATACCTCTTAATTGTGTCGTATCATTTTTGTGTTGTGTTCCAGTCGATAAAAAAATATGTTTAACACAAAATATTTTCGTGACGAATCAATTGCATTTCGTCGTATATTTCACATTTACGACAATTTATATAATACCATTTAATATTTTTTTAAAATTATAAAAATATTTATTTTTTGTCTATAATACTCATTAAATAGTTATTTTCTGTCTATAATTGTATTATTTATATCTAACTTTAATTTGATCGAACAGTCAAAAGATTCGTATCTAACTGTAGACAGAAAATAGTTATTTAACAAGTATTGTAAAAAAAAATAGGTATTTTATAATTTTTTTAAAATTTTTTTAAAAAATTTTATTAACATGAAAATATTATGATATGATACAATTGAGAGTTAATTAATGAACATTAATGAAAGAAAATTTTTTTAGATCATAAATATGAAATATTTAAACTTTAAGGGTATAATTTATAATTAGTCCAAACTTTTTTAACGACAAAATAGATAGGAATTAATCTCATGTGCAAATGGATACGAATTTATGTATTTTAGAGTGTAAATTGATATTTTTAAACTTTGAGGGTACAAATTGAAATTCAAATGATATTTTTCAGGGTGCAAATTAAGATTAACCCTACATTTTAACACACATAATTAATCTTATTTCCACTTTTCCTCCTAATTTTGGAGGGATTGATTTTAATGAAATAAAGGAAAGTTAATTCATCTACTTTTTCATCATTTCTATTTTCGTTCCTTACCAAACATTGTGTTTTATCTATCCCTCTAACTTTTATTTATTCTATTTTTTCATCATACCAAACGAAACATAACACTTTTAATACGCTAGAGAACTGGTATAAAGGTAGGTGATAAATAGTTCTCATAACTCCGAGTCCCAACCCCAACCCCAACACCCCTTTCAGTCAAGAAGATTTTTTATGTTTAGTCAATCTATGTAGAGTTAATCGATCTTTAAGAAACCCTCGAAAGGATTGTTTTCCGATGGATTGCTTTAAGTACAAAATCATGCCTGTTTGTTGGAACAAATTGGATGATCGACTAAAAGCTGCCCCTTCTTTCGCTCACACTCTTTTTCTTAATACTAGCAATGCACGAGTATGACATGTGTCACATGTGAAATTTTTTGTTCGAACATTTGATATAATACATTAAAAAATCTAATTATGTAGCTACATTAAATATTTTCTCATATTTATCATACTTAAATTATTTTTATTCTCTTCATAACTATAAACATCAAATGAACTCATTTTTTGTGATTCTTTTATTTGAGAACTACCAAGTAATAATGTTTATAGATTTTTATTTTCTCGATTTCTTTTCTTTTTGTTTTTCGTATTTTTACTTTGTGCATCAATAAATTCTTCCAAAATTATTTTTATTGTGAATGAAGAGATAATATAAATATATTCGTTTTTGTGGATTGAAAATGATATTGTATCAATGGAGTTGTCAATGTGTATTAATATTGGAGTTTTGGGAAAAAAGAATAATGTTATTTTTATATATCATGTTAAGCATAACATGATCATTCCAAAGTTTTGTAAAGATAGAAAGATTTGCATGATATGTTAAAAATTAATTTGTTATTTAAATAATGATAATTTACATATTTAAATACAAAAGGACATGTTAGCCTTTATAAATTTTAATATGAACAAAATAGTGAATCAAAATTTTTTCATGTTAAGGTACTTTTATTAGTAGTATAAATATAAATTAAGGGTACAATATGAAAATTTTAATCTTTGAGGATATAAAGTGGGGATTCTTAAACTTTTAGGGGTAAAAGTGATATTCCACCTTTTTTTTAACTATAAAAGCTGCCCAAGGGGTGCAACACATTAAATTGATTTACAGTTGCTGAGAGTTTGGATTCCTCGGAGTCACCTTTAAACAAAACGGGACATTTTTAGGGTGCATTTAGTAACATTTTTTTTTATTTTTTAAAAAGTGAAAAATAGAAATATTTTTTTTTTGTGGTAAAAACTAAAAACATAAAACATGTTTAGTAATTATTTATATGTAAAAAATTATGAAATTAAAATAAAAAGAATGTTTTGTATTATATAGTGTTTTCATAATTTTGGTTAATTTTTTAATCTCAAATACGTTGCTCCTCAAAAAATTGGAGATAAACTAACCAACCATCGAAAAACCATCACCCAATATCTTGAAAACCCACCACCAAAACTCCCAAAAACCCACCAGCCAACCACCAAAAATCCCCCACCGAAAACCTACCACCAACCACCAAAAAACCACCACCAACACTTCCAAAAAACTCACCACCCAACCACAAAAAAAAAAAAAATCAGATAGAAGCGAGAGAGAGGCCAACGAGAGACAGAGGCGAGAAAGAGAAAGACACAAAGAGGGTAGAAGAGATGGGAAAAAGAGAAATTGAAAAAGGGGGTATAGTCAAGCAAGAAAACTCATTTTTTTATTGCTAAGGACGATTGAAGTCGGGATTTCATTAATCCCAAGATGAAGCCCGCGTGTTTTTTTTAGGTGTTTATGAAACGCCTTTTTTGTGTTTTCATTTTTTGGCATTATTTTTACAACAAAATTCCTAAAAAAACAAAAACATAAAAAAATCATAAACAACTGGTTACCAAACCTTAGTTAGGAAGGAAGTGCTACAATCGTAAGGAGGGATTATTCTTTTGGAGGCCACACAAAGCTAATCACACTAAGTCCGTAGTGAATCGGTGATAACTAATTGTTGTTGATTTTGCACGAGAGAGTGGTTTATGAGAGAAAAGAGTGTAGGTCTTCTATGAATAGCAAAAAATTATTTGTATGGTGTGGTTTTAAAACTTAAAACTCATACATGCAATTTTTACATTGCATATTGATGCTGGTGTGAGCTTAGAAGAGGAAAAAACACATATTTAATCAAAACTCAGAAGCCCCACCCTAAAGTTGAAACCTCCCTTCAGAAATTTTGGTGCCTTAAAATTACACTGGAAGCAAAGACATTATAGAGGGACTCTATACTCTGGATCCACCATTCTCAAAATGAACAAGTTGCCTTGATTACCCCTTGAAATCCTGCAAACAGGGAAATTCAAATCAGCAAAAATTTCAAACCTACAAAAAATGATATGACAGAAAATGTGTTTAGAACGAACAAATTAATCTCGAGGCATTGAATGAAGAACGTAAATGGTAGCTGACAGCAGGAGTGTGAACATCACCAATACCCAGTGAGGAATTTCAGAAATCACATACATGGAGTTCAATATGTGTTTACAGGGAATAGCCATGCATGAATCTAGTTATGCAAGAAGCAATCGTAAAAATGATTAGAAAAGAAAAAACTCGGTTCAAAAAGCTTTATATAGCATATTATCAACTATATGTGAAGTGTCTGGGAAAAATGCAGCCCTATCATAAAGGATCTAAGTTCCACGCAATTACTTCAGCTTCTTCCAAAATTTTCCTGTCCCCAATTGTGAAGCTTAGTTTGGAAAATGTAACATCTGTACTTCCACAACCAAGTAAAATCAGTCAATAGGGCAGCAAGATCTGGTGCAATGCAAAATTTGCAATAATCTCGAGGAGAGAGACGAAAGATTGGCCAGTGAAAAACAAGAAGAAGAGATACACTTGAAGCAGTCTTTCAAACTCAATGAGAAACAAAGAACAAGCCCATCACTACACAATTGCTATTGGTGGTATAATCTAGGAGGGTTTTTTTATCATTGCTACTGGTATCCACGCAAATCTTTACCATGTAGGATAAATTATGCAAGTTGTTGAACACATTGCTGCAAGTATGCCTAAAGAAGCCTATCAGTGGGATCACTGTTCCAGGGTTATGTTCATAATGCAATTTTTCTTCATACATTACAAGAGCAAAAACCATAGGTTTTTACATTTCTCACCTTAAGTCTCCATCCAAGTATGTTATTTCCAGTTGACCACGACCACTTCCACGTGACTTTATAGGTATCTGAGTGCAACTAAAAAGCATTGGTCAAACAAATTAACGCATATTTTGGACAAAAATGTCAGCGGCAAAAAGTTCCAGGGGAGTATTTTTTGTGAATGTTAATTGCCATCAACCAGTCCTAAAAGACAGTGAATCCATATTAGGCTACTACTACTACCAGTAACAACAGTAACAATACAATAAAGAGTTGTGAGTTATGACACAATGTAAAGAGTAAATCTTGCAGTTTGTTGCTGATCTAGTAGAAATCAGAAATGCGTCGGAAGGGACACACGCAAATACTCCCTTTCTACTTTTCACCAAATTCATCAAAACCCATTGTTTTCGGCAGATGCCATTTTCTACTGCGTTAGGACAGCTTGTGGACTACAAATAATCAGACAAAAATTAGGACAATAGCTTCATAATATTTTTTTGATAGTGAAGCAATATCCTCATCATCCATGTCATTATCATGTCCATCAAAACTTATCCCAATTTTTCTGGGGTTGGGTACACTAGTCTTATTACCAATTCTCCACAAAGAAATATATATTCTAGCAGTTTGCAACACTTCAAATTTTGGTCCACTACCTAATCATGGCCAGTGGTGGACCTAGGGTTCGAACCTAGGAAAGCAACTGAAATTTTACAAACCTTTTAAGGCTAAACTGTTCCTTTAGAAAGACTAAAGGTCCGTACTTCTATGGGGATCCCAGTTTTTTTTTTTTGGAAGGGGGAGGGGGGGGGGCACTCACCCTCTCAATTGCCTGTAGCACAGTACACACCAAGTTAGAGTTCTTGTCATAGGTAATTGTGTACTGGGGCCAAAACTAAGGTTTCCAATCCCTTGATTGTTTCCTCAAATTACTCTTAAGATTTACTTTAACACTCAAATCTAACTTAATTTAACAAAGAAAAAAGACCCAAGATTCCTGCTGAACTCTCAACCAGTTTTACCTTATAATCCTAATAAAAGTTAATGTTTGCATATGTTTTTTATTTTAGAATGGTCATTTACTTCCATCAAAGACTGAATAAAGTACTAAAAGGCAGTGGGTTTGGTAAGCCAATAAGGCAGATCTTGGCCCGGCGCCTATAGACCAGATTTATGGAGAAGCCTGCCTTAAATGCTGCAAGAGTAAGAATCAATGATATTGGGTGATGTGTATGGGATCATAGAGACGAAGATAATGTCTTTGAAAAAGAATCCCACATCTCACTAGTAAGATTGAGAGTTGTGGTGCAACTGCTAGCGCATATGTGATCCACACCACTGCCTTGAGAAACCTTCCATCACAGCCCAATCTCAACTATTCTCTAGGAAACTAAGTTGCATTTGCAAAGTGTTTAGTGGAGAACAAACGAGAGCAAGGTTCCGATAAATACAGTATTTGTTTAATGGGTTGACATGCTTAGGTGCTTCAAAATTTAATGCAACTACATGCACTGAACCTGAATCTCAGTGGAAGTGACTGAGCTCTTGTTGAGATCAATGCTAACAGGAATAGTAGTTGAGTGAATAACTTGACATATATCAAGAAGAGAGCTCTACTCGTCTTGCCTTTCGACCCTAAGGACTCAACTCCTCTAGCCTTGATATATCTCTTAAACTTTCTCGCAAAGTAGGGTAGGTCCTCTTTTCCCAAGCAAGGTGACTTGGATTCATCTCCATTTTCTCGTATTNAGGACTCAACTCCTCTAGCCTTGATATATCTCTTAAACTTTCTCGCAAAGTACGGTAGGTCCTCTTTTCCCAAGCAAGGTGACTTGGATTCATCTCCATTTTCTCGTATTAAGCTTAATATGATGCCCCTAGGTTTCTCGGGCAGTTGGAGATTCTTCTCAAACGTCAAAATAGACCCAACTAGGTCTTCTATCGACACCATCTCCAAATTGACTTCGGTTTCCAAGGCTGTCACCTTAGTATGAAAGCTCTCTGATAGAGATCTAAATATTTTCCATTTAATCATGGAGTCATTATACTTTGGACCACATTTATTGCCATGCTACTATCAATCTCCCACCACGTTTTCCTGCATTAAGTTCCAGATACGTGCATCTTAGTCAAATTTAAATGTTATAAAATTGCAGAAAATGGATGTTGATGATCTACCTGCCAAAAAAATATGTAATATGGGTCCAAAAAATAAATGTTATAAAAAACTGTTGTCTCATCTTGCAAATTATGAGGAACTGGAGATATTTGCTTAATTCAGCACATAAGTTACGAGTCTTATGACAATAAGAAAAAATTTATAATCTTTTCTGAAAGACCTGCCCAAAATTTTTTTACCAAAAGCAAAATCACCTACCACACCAGCAATTCTGAAAGCATCAAATTTAACAGCCACCCTTCTTGCATTGAGAGGAATCAGATTAGCTGTAGCCTGAAAGATATATGATAGATTGGCCTTGACAGAAAAACTTGAAAATATTACAGTTGAGTTCAGTTAGTTTGTGAGTGAATGAGGAAATATTGGCACCAAAGTTTAATATAGAACATAGACTACAATTTTGCAAAATATTCGAGTGAGATTAGCATCATGATGAAATACTTGTACGTCGATGTTATCAGCCCAAACTAGAAACTTGACTCCAAACTAAAAACTTGCTAAGTTGCTTCCAGTTTGAAGCTTTTAACCTGACCAATTTCCCCTTTCCGTTAAATCAAAATAGGGTGTATTCCAGAACAAAAAAGCTTCAAAAACTCTCTTCAGGTGGTACTGGTCTACTAATTTCATTGGAAAACCAGAAATGGGCTTGCTTCTTTGGAATAGCCTGGAACCACAGTTAAGTCTTAAGAGCATTACAGCTTTCTGGATGTCAACAAATAGATCTGTCGTCAACAGGCGATGCAGTTGGAAGCCCAATTGTTACAGACAGTTTACTTCTTGTTACAACTATCAAGTCATTTTTCCATTTTTAGCCCGTAGGAATGACTATCTGTCTAAAAATTGACCTTTTACAAGTTCCTTGTTATCAGAATTTCAATTCTGTAAGGCCCATCAATACCTGATCTTTCGGGAGGTGATAGGGCAGTTGCAGGCCATTCCACCATTGTAACAACTTTAGATTTAGATATGATTTCTCAAACAAAATGGTGTAAACGAATGCTGGTAAGTGGCAACACATACTATTTAAAAGCTGCTCTCCTCTCAAGCCATAGGAGTCATACATTGTAAAAGAACTTAACCATAACCATATAATGGGATATATTCCCTAAACGCCAAACAATTTAGATGCCATCATTATACAGTCGTCACATGAACAAAAAAGGCTGATATTTTGCTTAAAAGGTCAGACTTGAATAAGCTGAGATCCTGACGTACCAAATCATACGTAAGAGTCAGTTGATTCAGTTCAGATTACAATAAGTTTACAAACAGGGAGATCTGAAACATGTTCTAAAGTAAATAACCAATGCTTCCTTTAAAAAGAAAAGAATCAGAAGATGCACCTGATTGAAGAATGGCCAAGTTTCCATATTTTGAGCCCTCAAAGTATCTATATTTATTGCCTGATAGATTTTTCCATTTGGTCTCAAGAATTTTGGTCTCTGTCACAATTGTGAAAAAAAAAAAAGTCCATGGTTAATATAGGAATGAATAATGAACACAGAAAATTTGAAAGAGAATGCATAAACAGCAGTTCTAGAATTTTACATCCGAAGATACATAAACTACGAGCAAGTAAGAAATTATTTCCCATATCTATACAATTGTAAAAGGCAAGCCCTTCATTTGTTCTATCCTGGTATGACGCTCTAGATGCTGTCACTTGGTACTGTGAAAGAGCTTTTAAAAGGTCCAGAGAACAATTGTAAGATGGTTATCTCACATCAAGATTAACTTGTTTAATTTAGCAGACCATAAAGAGAGGGAAAGAGGGACATAGTGCAGTCAAAATTCCCCACTTTTGCATTCCTCGGAGAACTAGAGTTCCAATATCCCAGATACGTCTGACAGATACTTATAGACAGTTGTCTGGTTCTGGCCTCACCCCAGTTTTTTCAATCATCAACAATACTTGCATAACCCTAAGCAATACCAAAATGAGACAACAATGTATACAAAATAAGATGCCCAGAGCCTTGTGCTTCTTTTGAATATAATAGGTTTCAATCCCAAAGGAGAACGTGGCTATTATCATACCTGGGTCTGCAGAATTGACTCGGAAGTTGTATATAGCAGCTCCCATTTCCCATTCAGCAAATTAGACTTGAGTGGCTCCTTTACCTTATTTACTGCTTCAAGTTTACGTGCAATCTGAAAAACAATAGGAGATCCAGCAGCTTTAGGAAAGATATCAGACATATCAACTAAGATATGTAGATTGGTGTAGAAACTTGAGATACTTCCATTTCTCCAATTTGATCAAGTAATGTTACTTGCTCAATTTGGTTAGTAGGTAGNTTCGATTGGTGTAGAAACTTGAGATAGTTCCATTTCTCCAATTTGATCAAGTAATGTTACTTGCTCAATTTGGTTAGTAGGTAGTGGTCTATGCAAATGTCTTGGCAATCATCAATGAAGAGAGAGAAATGCAGTTTGCAAACTTCACTAAAAGGACAAACATAGAAACTGACAACATCCAATGGTATTTAGCAAATTTAGAACTGGGGCTTTGATAGATTAGATGTACAGTCATACACACCGGGACTGAGCTACAAGTTTGGAATACAAATAAATTTAATCGCCGAAATGCATTAAGGAGAAAATCCACTTGTTACACAAGATCTTCACAGTTGCATAGGACAAGAACGGAGGGTAAGAAAGACACATGGGTGTTACAGTTTTCATGCATACAATGGCATAAGACCTTTCAAAGCATCCACGTGATTAAAAGGAAATTCCAGCAAATTAACCTTCTGGAACAAAAATACTAATCTAGGAAGTATCTCTGTACCTGGAAAGTAGACAGGCAAACGTGATAAGTGTAAGGTTTTTCGCTAAACAAACGGAATCTCAACAGAAGTTCATCCCCAATTCCCAATTTAGTCATCACAAACACAATTCACTTCCATATCACAATTCAATTACCTCATACTATTTAGATAATGGACTGATAGTTTTTCTGCTTTTTCATAACAAGCAAGGCTATTTTAACTCCCAAATTCAAGTCTGGGTTTGTTTCTAGGTACTATTATTCGCATGTATAAACCCGATCGAATACAAATTTACTCAACATTCAGTAGATAATTGATAAAATCAACAAAAAGAACTAATCCAACTAACAGAAAAATTAAACCCTAAAGCAAGATTTCGAACCTGATCGATCCGCTCTTGGTCTTCGGGATTGGCCTCAGCCCCGCGAACAAGAGGAGCTATAGCGTCACGAAGCTCCTGCTTGAGGGTGTCACTGTCTTTGCTTTTAGTGAACAAAGAAGGAAAGAAAGATAACCTAGTTCTCCATTTCCAAGACGCTGGTACTTGCAAAGCTCTGCTGTTGGGTATGTAATGGATGTTTAAAATACTAATTTTGGGCCATTTTGAGGTAGTGATAATGGGCAAAGAACGGGAAACGAAGAGATTTATGGAAGGTTTAAGGGAATTATGAAGCAGAGAAGAAGAAGAAGAAGAAGAAGAAGAAGAAGAAGATGACGAGGAAGAAGAGAGAGAGAGAGAGCCATTTGCTGATGGGTTGATTCAAAAGTTAGTTTTTTGGACCGTTTTAGATTCTGGCCTTCTTCTGTTCAGTTGCTTCCCGCTAGTATCAGAGGGCACACATCCACACACCACTAAAATCTGGCAATATCTATCTTCTTTTTATAAAACAAGTAAATTAATTTAGGTGGAAATAATTAATTAAAATAGATAAATTGAGAGATTAAAATAATACGGAGAGATAGAGAGAAAATAAAAAATATATATTTCTGTCGGTGTGTATTAATTCTACAACTAGAGAATTTTTTATATGTACATTTTAACACTGCCGATAGAAAAATGAGGGATTCACTACCTAGTAAATATAGTAATTATTCATGCATTTTAAGATTATGTCCAAATACTATTAGATACTATTGTTATTATTTATGTATAATAGTCATATATAGTAATCATCCAAATCATAATAATATTTATAACACTCCCTATGACTGTTTAAATAACACCAAGGTCGAAAATCCGATTTTAATAAAATAGTTGAAACCCTAAAAATGTCCTGTTAAAAACTTAATAAGTAAAACCTAATGAAAAAAAAAACTTTAGCAAAAGGAAAAAGAATACATCCCTCCCCCTATTGAAAGCATTNTTGTCCTGTTAAAAACTTAATAAGTAAAACCCAAAGAAAAAAAAACTTTAGCAAAAGGAAAAAGAATACATCCCTCCCCCTATTGAAAGCATTCTTTATTCAATTTGATAAATCTTTAAGACGTCGCATTCTGATTTAGTTCATTAATTTTTGGAATGTAGTCGATAAGAGTGTTTTAGTAAACAAATCTTTCAAATTTTATACCAATTCAGGTTTTTGGACAATGTAAAACTATTTCAAGTATATGAAAACCTCAATAATAGAGGTGAAATAAGATCAAAATATAGTTTAAGAATACAAAGTGTATTTTGCAATAGATTAATTGATTAGCCATCAGTTCTCTTTTTGAAGGAGAGTAATAAGCAAACATGTCAATAGCTTTTCAACAAGAATAGAAATCTACTTTTATTCCTCTTTTGTAAATCAGAGCAAAGCTAGCAAAACCATCATCACTCCTTCTTTCTTTTATTTTTTTTTTTTGACAAAAAAAAAACGACCCAATACACGAGGCTTTCGCCAACCATTTTGAGGTTTGGGGAGGGCTACTTGTGCCTTTCCTATATTTCGTAATAAACAATCAGGCACTTAAAAGAAAAAAAGGAATTGCAGGCATCTCATGTAAAAGATTTCAAAAGTGAGATTCAGTCGCTTGATCCTTCTCCATCATCCGGAAAAATGAGTTCCAGATCTTTATTGTCCCTGTAAACTTGAACCAGAGCAGCAGCTTTATAGGCAAATAGCCCCACCATTGCTGGTAATAGCTGTGCAGACCACAAAATGATAACATGTAAACACAAAAAACCAATAAAAGGAGTTCTCATGCTTAAGCAGTATCTATCTATAGCTCAAACTATGTAGTTCCAAGACAAGGAAAATTGATTCGTGCATCACCTGAAAATCAAAGAAATCATTGGCAAAATGTTGAGACAGTTCCCAGAATCCATATATCACAGCAGGGATCACAAGTCTCGATGATGAAAGAGCAATGCTACTACCCTTGACCAATTTCTCGACCAGATCCTCGAGATCCTGGCTTCTTATGCCAATTCTGATTAGGAAATGAACATCAATTTGCAGAGAAGGAAGGCGAAATTTATTTCAGAACAACATTAAGCACAAAAAATTGAAGTACGAGTGTATTATAGTAATACTTCTTCGATTTCTTTTTCGTGAAAACCCCCGGAACTTTTTCTTTGGAAATACTGTCTGCATGTTGGAATAAGAGTTGAAGATACAAGCAACTGCATGAACAATGATCAAGGAGAAATGTTAAGACATGGTTAACCTCAAGAAGTTTGATACTATCTCAATAAATATACAAGTAACACAAATTTTTTTATTTGCTTGCACCTATCCGGCCATTCTTCCCGAAAATTCTAATTTATAAACAGCCACAATCACTCTTTACTGACAAAAAATATCAATTATTAACACACAACAAATCCAATATTACTCCTTTAGCCTTGCATAGGCGGCCAATGGCTTCTTGACATTTAGCATTACTAATAGGTTTAAATTAGCATTTGTGACAAGTCAAGTCTTTTAACATTGTCTCACTAAAAAGCAATATAGACAAAAAGCAGAACATCCAGACTGACAGAAAAAAAAAAAAGAGAAAGTAAGGATAATCTAGGCTAACCTGAACATAACTCCTGCCGCATAACTGACAGCAGCCTACACTATATACAAGCAAGGAAAGTCAGCTACCACATAAAAACTAGAATGATTTTCCTTCTCGAACATCTCATCTTGTTAGTTAGACGAATAATACTCTTTCAACAATACAAATATGCCTCAGTCCATTGGATAGGAAGCAAAATGCCTAAAACTATTCTGAGTTAAAATGGTAAAGAAACTTCGAGTATTAAGCTAGCAATTTTACGTTCTCAAGCTCACTACTCACAATGGGTGGTTCATAAAATAGGACAAACTTCAATAAGCCTATCCAATGGTCTCAAATAGACTCATCCAATCCCCACCAACATCCCTCTCAAAACTATTTACTTTAAATTTTATCTTCCTCTCCTCACTCTTCACTCTCTCTCTCTCTGGAATCTTCACTCCTCACTTCTCCAAATTAACCAGTTGGTTTANAGTTCTCAAGCTCACTACTCACAATGGGTGGTTCATAAAATAGGGCAAGCTTCAATAAGCCCATCCAATAGTCTCAAATAGACTCATCCAATCCCCACCAACATCCCTCTCAAAACTATTCACTTTAAATTTTATCTTCCTCTCCTCACTCTTCCCTCTCTCTCTCTCTGGAATCTTCACTCCTCACTTCTCCAAATTAACCAGTTGGTTTACTTTGCACCGTGCCTTTAGGCATGGGTAACCCCTTAAATCATATGACTAGATATTTCATCCCAAAGCATATTTGATTAGCCAGAGAAAGCTGGCAATACGCATTTACATAGACCACTTTTATTAATTGGAACAAGGCTCTACTAATCTAAGTTTAGCTGAGTATGCTTTTTATAAATTGTGTTTTACATCTTTGAATTGGCATTTTGTTAGATTTNATCATATGACTAGATATTTCATCCCAAAGCATATTTGATTAGCCAGAGAAAGCTGGCAATACACATTTACATAGACCACTTTTATTAATTGGAACAAGGCTCTACTAATCTAAGTTTAGCCGAGTATGCTTTTTATAAATTGTGTTTTACATCTTTGAATTGGCATTTTGTTAGATTTGCATGCAATAATTGTCTACGTTTATTCTACCTCCACTAGTTGTAGCAGCATTCCATGACATTTTTAGGTATTTTATTTTCCTTGGCCTTCTCAGCAATAAATTAAAGCATTAATGACAAAATAGAAGCTATCAGAAATATGCAGATAAATTTTCTTTGAATAAATTTCACTTCATAATGAATGGAATCATTTGCATCAGGAATGTAAACGATCAAGTTTAACCTTGTGTCACGTTACCTGGAGTGATATAACTACCAGACAATATCCACTGCATGCAGTTCCAATACCCACTGTTAAAATAAGCAATTCCCTCTTCAGCTGCATGGGAAAGGGTAAATTATCAGCATCTTTTTCTACATTTGAAAAATTGTAGCGCTGACTCTAATTAAGGAAGAAAAAAAGTTTGCAAGGGATATCTAGAAAGGCATTCCTAATTAAGCATCCTTTAATGGTGATCTTCTCGCATCAGAGACTGACATAATTATTGTAGTTACTTATGGGTTTCAGATCAGTTTGTAGCACATCTTCTGTGTAAAAGGAAAGAATTAAAAGGTAAACTAGACCCAAACAAACATATACAAGAGCTAGAACAGGGGCAGACCACCACGGTAGAAGAATATATAGCAGTTAAACTCACCTAACTGGATGAATACCGATGTGCTACAATTTAAAACAAGAAACCACAGAGTCAAACACTAGGAAGTCCTGCTCACACAAACCATTGGAATACCTCTGGAGATTCTTAGGTGATAATCAATGATAGCAAGGATTCCTGCGGGAGGGAAGGGAGGAAAAAAGAATAGGAGGAGTAGGACGAGGAAGAAGCACCCTATTAAATCAACTCAAAAAAATAGCGATCATTGTTGAAACTTTCACATTGCAAACATGGCTTCTTCATGGTAGCACAAGCATCCAAAACCAATACTTGACTTAAGGCGAGGCAGCCAAAGACCATTCTGAGTCCTTAACGTAGGCAAAAGTCCCATGAGGCTTACATGTCATGCAACACGGTAAAAGGTATGCTTTATCCATATTTCTACACCTGCTAATGAGGCCTACACCACCCTGAAACAAGGACCAGGGAGTCCTAGGTCCACCCTCATATTTCAATCTTAAATCATGTATAACTATTTTCTAAACTTCTCAAATATTTACTGGGTTCACCCAATCACTTTTGTGTCTTATCAATTAGTATAAACCCATACCTTGGCATTGATCATTGCAGCTGCCACTATAGAGAGGAGGGCTATTTTCAGTAATAAAAGTTGTGAAGAAATGGTTGTGTACAAGAATCAAAATGTCGTGTCGACACGTCCGAAACGTTTCGGAATTCCAACACTCCAAAACGAAATAATAGTTGAATCACAAAATTCTAGTGTTTCGGTCGAAACGATACTATTTCGGACCGAAACAATACCGTTTCGACGAAACAGTGATATATTCGGTTCACTATGAATAATTATATTTAATACCCCACTATAATNGTACTATTTCGGACCGAAACAATACCGTTTCGACGAAACAGTGATATATTCAGTTCACTATGAATAATTATATTTAATACCCCACTATAATTACATTTAATACCCACTGTAATTACATTTAATACCCACTATAATTATATTTAATACCCCACTATAATTACATTAATACCTTTTATAATTTTTTTGTTATAAGAATAAATAATTACACTTAATACCCTACTGCAATTATATTTAATCCCCATTGTAATTATATTTAATACCTACTGTAATTATATTTAATACCCCACTGCTATGCAAATCTTTTGCTTTTTTTTTTTTTTATAAGTATTAACAATTACATTTAATACCCTAATATAATTACATTTAATACCCACTGTAATTACATTTAATTTTTAAGTATACATAAGTACTATTAATTTAATTTGATACCCTTCATTATTAGTATTATAATAAAATAGTATTATTAATTGGATAATATTACCATAATAATATGAGTTAAAGTAGCTATTGTCATCATATTTATGTCACATATGGAGTTTCTCTAAGTAGCTACCCAGAGCCTACACCGATGTATGAGCCTGCTCGACACTCCACAGGGGAATGGATGTAACCATGTAAGTATGTACTCATTAGCATTTCATGTGTATTATAAGACNCTGCTCGACACTCCACTGGGGGATGGATGTAGCCATGTAAGTATGTACTCATTAGCATTTCATGTATATTATAAGATCTTAATATTATGTAAAAATGTGTTTATTTCATAAAAATTAAGTGTTTGAAACTAATTTAAGTGATTTTCGCCTCATGTCAAGCTTATTTTCCCTCAAATTTAAATTTATTCTTGTATAAATGGATGATAACCCAAGAAATATATTGAATTAATCAATTATTTAGCTTATCTTTATAAATTAATGGATTGTATTTGTGTTTCTATGCGTTTCCATATTTTTTCTGCGTTTGCGAAACGTTTCCATTTTTGAACTAATTGAAACGATACTTCGAAACGAAATTTTGATCCTTGGTTGTGTAACAGAAGTGGATATCAACGAATGAATGATAGCTTGATTATATACATAGAAAAAGACATGTTCGGTAGTATTGGTAACAAAGTTATGATTCAACACTTTCAAAATATAAAGATTTGTTCGGTCAAATGTAAATGGTTGCAATTAGCCTCGCATTTTTTGTAAAGTGTCATATTTAGCCTTTTTTGTTTGTAGAAACTATGTATACCAAATTTTGGCCCTTTTAGTGCTTATAAATGTTTACGAATCACTTATAAATAGAAACGTAACATTCTACTGTAATTGATTGGGAGAGAAAAATTAAAGCTTGTATCATCCTACTATAATTTTTAGGTATCAACTTGTACTATGCAAACATTGTATTTAGTATCTTATATAGTCAACCGTGAGCCACTATATTACTATGTCCATGTGCAACCTTCATACGATAACATTAATAGAGCATTCCAACCTTTGTTCATATAACCTTGCTATATGCTCCTGTGAGGTTTACAGATAGTAAACATATCGCAATTTATTTGCTATTAATTACTCTTCTGTCATGATCTTTTATTTTGAAATTTGAATTCAATGTTCTAACGATTTAATGCCTTAGTGCCTTGGGTCTTACATCTTGCCTAACACGGATAAAATGCCACAATTTATGCTTTCACTTATAAAACTGCAAATCCAACGATGGTGACCCTCAATGTTAGCAAGTAGACATTGATATCATAAAGTGTGTTCAAACATATCTTTCTATTTTCCCTTTACCATAATCAGAGATTAAACAAGATTTAAATGTCTACGCAACAGTATATTTCTGTTTCAGTTGGGCAAGCCTCTAAGCAATAAGGATGTATGGTTGATCTCTATCAAGATCAATAAACTTCTTACTTCATAGACCACTATTTTCCTACCAACAATTGGCGATGGAGAACTACATAATATCTCCATATGAGTGTCCCATTTACGTTTTGGATTTGGTCATGCCATGACCGTCATGCTTTAGGAACCCCTTTATTGCACATGACATAACACTTAAAATTGACAATAGCACCAAGGACTTCCCTTATTGCTCTATTTCTCTTNGCATGCCATGACCGTCATGCTTTAGGAACCCCTTTATTGCACATGAAATAACACTTAAAATTGACAATAGCACCAAGGACTTCCCTTATTGCTCTATTTCTCTTCTAACCCTCAACTGTTTGTCATGGTATTTTGCCTGCTTACTCAACCAAAGACATGCCACATATTCACATTGTTGCTATGGGTGGAAGACTGCCTATGTTGTAGCATTATAATGGTAACAATAATTTGAAACATTGAATCAACAAACAAATTCTTTTAATGGTAAACAATGATGAAAAAGAACTTCCTTTTCCTCTAATAAAAAGTAAGTGTAAGACATTCTGCAATCAACAAAGCATTTCATGCTTTATCCATTGGATTGCCCCCATAACACATGCAGGTGAACAAGTTACTCAATATTTAGCACTGAGGACAAATAAGAACACTAACCCTGCAATGCAACTTTCAAACAGCATTTCAAAAGACAAGCAGTAAAAGCTAATAACAATATCGTCTTTCATTTTCTTCCCCTTTTTTCCTTTGCAAATCTTCCAATTTGTCCAATCGTGCCAAAGAATGAAGCTCAGATAAGATGACAAATCTTACAGTTAGAGAAAACAAAGATAGAAACATATGATATACCCTAAGCTGGTAACCTAGAAACCTATTGGAGTAAAATCGCATGTTAAGTTAATTATATCAAAGTATTAAAGATAAGGAGCTAAATATACTGGAATACCATAACTATGTAACCTTCGAGTGCACATAAGGAGAAAGAAAGGACATCATCTGTGTACAAAATTATCCCATTGTATATTATTATTTAGAAAACATGAAACAAAAGCTAAAAGATTTAAGGAATTACTTAGGTTAAGCAGCATAGATGACAGTACAACTTTTGTTATTACAAAATGCGGCCAAATGTTAATATGAGTAAAGAAAGAATATGAATAAAAATTGAGTTACCGGTATACAAAAGTACACAGTGAGTTTGAGATATATATCATACAACTTCATATTGGAGAAGACTCAGTCTCTTCCTGCTTTCAGAGTCATTTGGTATTTCCTGTCATTAAGTGTTAATAAACAAAACACACTTCAGAAGTATTTCTCTTCCAGTGCTCCTTATTAAATAATTCCTAATTGAACAATGAAAGTTCTGGAAGGGAAGCTAGAAGGAACCAGAACCAACCAGAATCTGACAAAACAAAATGCAGATGACAAACTAAAGCCATACCTTAAAGATCACATTCTTATTGACAGGTGCAGAGTTGTCACCTAATAGCCATTCATGGGTTTTCGTCAGTTTCAAAAACCCACCCTCATCTTCATTCCCCAAGGGCTACAAAAATTAAGAGCAGCATTAATAGTATGAGATTAAAAAATGGCCTTGCTTAAAAGTGTATACAAAATCTTGCTCAATTTCTGATATAACTCATAACCAATAGTCTATAGTGAAAATTGCAGTTTCTCCTCTCGTGCTTTGGCCAAGTTGCACATAATTCCCTAAGCTTCAGAAATAGACAAGTCACAGTTATGGACTAAACTGCAATCATTACTTTTTTCGACAAAACTAACCATCGAACACCCAAAGAAAAATTATGACTAAAATAATGTTTTATAATGAACTAAATCCTATCTAAATGCTACTATTTCCATTCCTCTGTCCTGTTTTGCCTTTTCTTAATCCTTCTTAAACCCACCATCACCACCTCCTCCACCACTACGAACAAGCTTGTCATTTATAATATTTTCACCCTTCCTCCTTTCTTTTCTTTGTAAAAAAAAAAAAGAATGTACAAACTTGCCCCAATTCAAAATTTTAAAAAATTTTAGGACCTAGGTGTAATTTTAAAAATTTCAAGAATTTCTTAAACTTACCCCAACTAAAATTTTCTTAAAGTATATGGTAATATTAATGTAATTTTCAAACCTTAAAAGTTAACTTTTGGCTGATCTCATCACTTTTCATCGCTAGCTTTTTTTTTTCCCCTAAGCCCATCTTCGTCTTCTTGTCCAATGCCAACCCTTGCCCCTCTTCTTTCTTTTATTTAGTTTATTTGTTAATTCTTTTGGTGTATTTCTTGCAAAGGAGAAAAATTCCTAGAAGATTATGTGCAAATCAAATTTGAAGAAACCCTAGAAGAAATCAAGTAGTATTCGTCGTGGGACAATGTGAGTTTCAGCTTCTCTGCCTTGAAATTGATTTAAAATCAGATTTTTTATAATCATAAAATTAGTTTAGTTCCTGCAGAATTGATGGTTGTTTAGTATATTATTTATGGACATATGTAAGTTTTTTTTGTTTTGTCTTGGATCACCACTCAACTTTTTTGAATTTTGTTAAAGCCCTGTTCAGATTGANGGTATATTATTTATGGACATATGTAAGTTTTTTTTGTTTTGTCTTGGATCACCACTCAACTATTTTGAATTTTGTTAAAGCCCTGTTCAGATTGACTATCTGAGATTCTTGGTTAGTGTTATTTTTCTTCCCTATGATTAAATTACTTTAATTGATTTCTTGAAATTATAGTTTGGATTATATTTTGGATTTATGGATTATATTTTGACTATGGGTAATCCATTGTCTCATTTGTTACGAACTTAATGACGAACTCTTAAACTTGAATCTAATTCGACAAATTTATTTTTCAATTAGCTATGGATAGGTTTCTTATAAGAAAATCAACATTAGAACAACTGCCTCCTAATCAAGAAATAGATGATCGTGGTGGTTACATACGACATTGTTCTAATCAAAGTCGTGAAGGAGTTAACTTAGAAAATCTTCCTGCGGAT